AGGCAACCAGGAGCACCCTTTCCTGGAGGGGCGGAGAGACCCCACAGCAGAAGACCGGGGGGTGGGGGGGGGGGTCCAACCTGCTGAAGTTGAGGCTGAGCCAGTCAGGGAGACCAGGTCCCAGGCTCCTCCGGAAGGTGGCACCTTCAGCGAGACCCAGGCACCCAAGACACCTGCCCGCGCCCACGCCGTCCCCTGCGTGCTACCTCGGGGCAGGGGACACCAAGGAATCCAGCCTGAATTCTCTCGAGAGAGGCAGGGGATCGCCTACAGAGGCTGTTAGAAAGCCGGTTAGTCGGACCCAAATCCAGTCTCCTCCGCGCCTTGCTTGGCACCACATGGGGGTTCATGCAGGTAGTTGATGTTATCTAGAACTTACTAAGTCCTGTGCCCACCTAAGGGAGTGCCGGTAACCACAGCAACAGCCCAGCTACGTGGGAAGGGAAATTGCCCATACGTTGCCCTGCGTCAGCTGGTGGAGGGGGAGCCGCATCCGCAGTGTTTGCCGATGGTCATGGGGTACACACGCCCGCCCTGGCCAACGCCAAGCCAGCGGGGCGTCACGTGAGCCTGCCATGGACCCGGGCTGGCTACCCCTCCAGCCAGGAAAGCTCCCTGCTGGGGACGGGACCCGTTTAACTTGCTTCACGTGGGAACGGCGCTCTCCCCCACGTGGGCAGCCCCTCCACGTAGCCGACCCACCTTCCCCCACAACTTCAGGGTCCGGCCACCCAGCCAGGCCCTCCGTGGTGGGAGCCAGCCCGCTGACAGCAGAGGTCAGTGGCCAGCCCCTCCCCGCAAATGGGCCGAGACAGAGCCGCCTGGCGCCGGTCCTCGGCTGTGAGCGCCCCGCAGCCAGGACAGTTTTGTGCTGACTCCTCGGGTGGAGTGCGGGCTGGCATCGCGCTCAGGAGGGAATCATTAGCGGAGGAGGGCCCCAGGCCTGTGGCAGCTAATCACCTGCCTCCCCGCGCCCAGACGCAGCCTTCCTCGGGGTAGCCCTTTCACCGCCCCAGGAGCAGGCAGGTGGGGAGGGGCCAGCAGAGCACGCCTTCGCCAGCCAACCTCCCAAATAAAATTAAAAAAAAAAATTCCCCCCCCCCACCACCACCAGCAAGTATTCAAATACTTCTCGCTGACTTCCCGGAGTGTTATTGGTGTAAAGGTTGGAGCTCAGGCAGCTTAGCTGTTCTGCGGAATGACCTTTAGTTTTAATATTAATATATTATCGTAAAGTCGGTGCGAATCGTGGATGCAATCTCGGTATTCATAGGAAATGCCGCGGCTACTGCTCTCCCCCTCCGTCGGGGCGGCTGCAGGCGGGGGAAATTAATATGCGTCACCCCGCTCTCGCCTTTATTTACTTAGAGAGGGTGGCCGGCAACTTTATCAAGAGCCTTCCCGGCAGCTTCCCCATCCTACGCACCGCGGTGTCGGCGGGACACTTGTCAGTGTCAATCAAACCGCAACGATACGCAGATGATTCGCTCATTTGGGTTAATGAAATCTTCCTGCTTATTTGCACTGCCTCCATGACACCACATAATTGCCGCGCGGTGGCGGGAAGGCAGCCGGTTGCCTGGGGGATAAGAGGAGACGATGGGTATATGAAGGGCTGGCTTCTTTGCCTCTGTCTCTCCCCAGTCACTCATATCCCGAAAATTAATATTGCATTTGAATCCAGCCCCGCCGTCCTCATGCAGGCTAACATTGTTATTACTTATTATTTGGATGTGAAGTCATTTATTTTTAGTTTTATGTCCAAGCTGTCAGGCTAAATTTCATTGTGAACTGCCACGTGCAATTTCTAACTGCCATTTAGAACGCGATTCAAACCCTGAATGATGGAGTGAGCTTCTTCAAAGGCCGGCCTGGTTGGGGGGCTGGGGGGGGCAGAGCCCCGGTTCCCCCACAGATCAAAGGGGCTGGTGATTGCTGTGGGGAGGGAAGCCGCAGCCTTCGCGCCTCACCATCACCCCGACCGTGGCTGGACAGGCAGGTGGGCGAGCGGACAGGCCCCGCTGCCAGCCCGGCCCTGAGTACGCTGCCCTGGGAGGGGTGTGGGGGCCGAGGGCGCTGGGGCAGGCCCGCAGGGAAGGCGTCCTGGGTGCCTCGGCCTCGGCCTGGAGGCAGGGACTGCTGGGGGCCGGGCGTGGGGGGGGGGGCGGGGGGGCGGGGGAGAGGGGGGAGGAGCCACAGTTAACATCCAAGTGGGTGGTGTTGTGCTCTGGTCTCGCCACAGAGGAGCGTGTGTGGGGGGCAGACGGGCACTGGCGGTTCCGTCCTGCGGGCAGCGGTGCACAGGGAGCGGGTCCCCGACACTGACCCCCATGTGCCCGCTGAGGCTGGGCCTGGGGAGGAAGAGAGGTGCTGAGACTGGGGGCTGGGAGGTGCGCTCTGCGAGCACCAGTCCAGCCTGAGGGGCAGAAGGAGGCTCTGCCAGGAGGCCAGGGGCAAGTGGTGCTGGGATGGAGGGGCAGTGCCCCCCCCCCGGCCCTGGGGCCACAGCGCCGTGCCCAGGTGGCCAGGCCCCTCGAGGACCAGTGTCCAGGAGCCGGCAGCAGGCCAGCCCCGGGGGAGCCCGGCACCCCGGCAGCGGCACTTTGCGGCCAAGCCCAGGACCCCGCGTGCTCCCCACACGCTTGGAAAGACCTGGGAGAGCAGCCCCCCCCCCCCCATCTGTCCCTGCGAAGCTGTGTCCCAGACAGGCCGGGCCCAGGGGCCACTGAAGGGGAGCGTTGGCATCCCCCCTCCACTTATTGACCCCTGACCCCGAGGACTGACGCACACACTGTGTCTCAGGGGCCGACTTGAGTTGATGAGACAGTGCGTTCCGAGGGCGGGGCGGGAGGGGGTGCTGTGTGAGCCGGAGGGGCTGTCCCTGGCCGGACAGGGCGCTGGGACCCCTCTGTCCCCGTCCCTCCCTGCCTCTGCCACGGCAGAAAGGCTGTTCTTTCACAGATCCCAGGCCTGAGCTGGGCGCGGTGGGGTGTCCTGTCACTTAAGGCGTGCCCTGTCCCTGCCTCCCCTCCCCACCGCACCTACTTTCTCACTGAGTCGCACACCTGGTGTGTTGTAACTCCTGGAGGTGATGCCCAGGCAAGCAGCCTGGTGAGCAGAAGGCAGGTTACGTCCATCATAGCGCCTCTGAGAGCCCCCGGGAGGGCAGCGCTGACGGGAGCCAGCCGGCAGCGAGTCCTTCCTCCAGCCACCACTTCAGGCATCCTGGTGCCGGGCGCTGTCCTCGGTGCTGGGGACCCGCCGTGGAGGACAGACCAGCATCCTGCCTCCTGGGGGCGGACAGTCAGGGAGGGACACTGAGGACATACAACATACGAGTAAGACACGCGGCTGGTTAGAGGGAGCCACGGGAGTGAGGGGAGGGCCGTGGCCATGAGGCCGCAGGACGGGGAGGGCGGGGGCGGGGGGGAGGTGGGTCTCGCGGGAAGGACACGCAGAGACTTTGGGTTTGACTCAGAGGGAAACGTTGGCCTTTTGAACGGAAGAGAGACGTGGCCCGGGTTAGACTTTAACAGGATCAGGCTGCGGGGGTTGCAGGGCAAAGGGCGGGAGGCGACGGGAGGTTCGAGGGCGGTCAGGTGGGCACCTGGGAGCAGCCTGGGTGCTGAGAGGCGGCCGGATTGGGATATGGGTGACGCAGGGCCCAGGCCTGCTGACCGGCGAGAGGAGGGAGACGCTCAGGGTCTGACCATCCATGGCGGGGGCCCACGGAGGGCCCGGTGGCACAGCGGGTGGCCGAGGGGTTCGAGGCGACCGCGTCCCCGTGAGGATGGTGAGTGAGCAGTGGGGGCAGGAGCCTGGACTCCGGGGAGAGGCCCAGCGTCAGGCTCAGGGCGGGAGCCATCGGGTGTAGACTGGACGGGGCCCCGAGGGAGAGGAGGCCGCGGGCTGAGGGCGGGGACGGGAGAAGGCAGCGCGGGGACAGCAGCGCAGGCGGCCTGGGTGGACGTGTGTCCCTCGGGGTCAGGCGTCCCTGAGGAGGGTGGATGGGAAGGCCGCTGACGTGGTCACGGAGGGACATGCGGCGTCTCTGTCTCGGCCGCTCTCGTCCGGATCCGCAGCTACTTTCTCACGCAACCTTCTCGCAGGGCTGGGCTGGGCTCGGGAAACCGGAGGGTTAAGATCTGCACGTGCCCGGCCGGGGCGGCTCAGTGGTTGAGCATGGACCCGGGGACCAGGGGGTCGCGGTTGATTCCCCATCAGGGCACGTGCCGGGTGTCGGGCTCCATCCCAGGGTGGGGGGAATGCAGAAAGGGGGAAGAAGGCCCTCTGCTGCCTCCTCCCTCTGCTCCTGCGGATTCAGCGGCTGGGACGCGGCTCCTGCAAACATGAGCCCGTGGCCTCTGTGCCCCGAATGCCGAGGGGGGTGTGGGCGCAGGCCCGTCCCCTTTCATTTCCAGGCGGGTCCGTGTCTAATGAGGGCGGGTGAGGAGCGAGGCAGTTCCACGCTGCGCCATCCTCACCCTCAGTCCTGAGGCTGCGCTGGTCTCTGTGGGTCCCGATGAGGCACTTCCACCGGGAAGGGGGAGCTCAGGCCCTTCCCGGGCTTGCGGCCTCCACCCTCCGCCCCCCCGCCCCCCCCCCCCCCCCCCCCGCCCCCCGACAGACTCTGTCCTCTGCCCAAAGCTGCTCTGGGCTACTTCCCAGAAAGTGTTTGACAGGCGGGTTCCCTGCTACTCCCTCCTCTTCAGGCAAAGGGGGTGAGGCTGGGGGCGAGGCTGGGGTGATCTGTGAAAGAAGGATGGTCTCTGGGCCTCGCTGTCCCCGCACCCCTTCACCCCCTCACCCCCTCATCCCCTCATCCCCTCGACCTCTTCCCCGCTGACCACCCGCAGCCACAAGGCGCACAGGGCACACACCCACTCAGACCCACCACCCTCCATGCACCGCCCGCCCCGCCCCCCGTTCCCATCACACTCCCCCTCCCCCCACGCGCCCCCCATCCCCCATGCTCTGGCCAGAGGACCGCGGGCAGGGTCTGCAGTCCAAAAAGGCGCTGATTCGTTTATTGGGGCTGGAGGGGTACAGCGTGTGGGGGGCGAATCACATGGCAGTGGGGGTTGGGGGGTGGGGTCGTGCTGGGCGCTGATTGGTCAGAGGTGGGGAATAAATCATTTCTTCGGGTCTTGAGGGCAACTCCAAGCTCCCCGGCCGGAACCAGGTCCAGAACCAGGTCCAGAACCAGTGTGGGGGACCGGTGGCCAAGGGCGTGTCCCGCCCCGCAGGCTCCGGAGCTGAAACAGTTCAGATAAGATGTTATCTCAGCTGGGGTCGGCCTTGTGACCTTAGTCCCAGCCCGCAGGCTGGTCCGGGGTCAGGGTGAGACTGAGGTCAGGTCAGGTTTGGGGCGGGGGAGGGGGGGATGGTCTTAGCCCTGCGGTTACATCCGGTCGGAGCATGGGGCCCGTCCCGTCCTGCGCAGAGGGGCGGCCCTGCCTGGGGGTTCCTTGGCGTGTAGTTTGCAAAGGGGGGACTGTGACGCTGTCCCACGGCGTCCAGCCAGACGCATGGCCGAGGGGCTGCGCCTGTTCGGTGTGTGAATCCGCCTCCTGTGCGGCCTCGGGGGTGAGCGGGGCCGCCCAGCGGCCCAGGCGCCCGGGGCTGCCAGTGCTCGGGCCTCCGCCGCCGCCTGGGAGTCACTAACGGAGGCTCTCCCGGTGGATCGGTGCGTGCCGGTGCACAGAGGCCCTGCTCCTGAGCAGGCGGCCTGGCCTCGGGGGCACCTGATCCCCGATGGCCCCCAACCCTCCCCGATGGGGGCTGCAGGGCTCCGGAATCACCAACGAGGCCGAGGGGGTGGGGGTGGGGGGTGAAGGGGAGAAGCCGCCCATCCACGAGGGCTGTGGGGAGCGGGTTTCCTGATGGAAGGGGTGCCTCTCCTTCCACCGCAAATCCTCCCGGCAGGTGGCTTCAGAACCCACGGGGGGTGGGGGTGGGGGGGGGAGAGCCGTCCCCCTCTGCAGCTCTTGTCCCCTTGACAGCGCCCAGCCGGGCCATCCAGGGGAGCGGCCCACACATGAGCCCCTTCCTCTAGGTCTGTCCCATCTCTTCCACCCGATGGCCAGCTTTTGGAAGTGCAATGCCACACCCACTCTGTATCCCGAGTGTGGAAAGGACACGTTCTCAAAGTTTGATTTCTCGGTACCCACCCCGCCCCCAACACACACACACACACACACACACACACACACACACACACACACACACACACACACACACCAGGAGTGCTACCTCCCTAGCGACACCCCCACCTCCGAATTTCTCCCTAAACACAGGCTCCGCCAACCTAGGCCTAGTCGTGGGCATATCTGAGGCTGGGAGGGGGACCTGGGATTGGGCGGGTGTCTGAGGCATCTTAGATGGAGGGTAGGGACGATGTTCCCACCTCTGTGCACCGGAGCCCTGCGGCCCGCCCCCTGCTGGCGTCTGTGAGGCACTTTGTCTAAAGGAAACAACAGTCTTTTAGGTGCATGTTCCCGGGAATGCAGATGGAGGTCGGGCTGTTGTAAGAGCGTGGACGTGTTTACTAGTAGAGAGTGCAGCCCTAGCTGGTTTGGCCCAGTGGATAGAGCATCGGTCTGCGGACTGAAGGGTCCGGGGTTCGATTCCGGCCAAGGGCACATGCCTGGGCTGCTGGCTTGATCCCCAGTAGGGGGCGTGCTGGGCGTGCAGGAGGCAGTCAATCAATGATTCTCTCTCATCATTGATATTTCTACCTCTCTCCCCCTCTCCTTCCTCTCTGAAATAATATATATATATTTTTAAAAAGAGTGCACACAGTCCAGTGTTCTCAGAGAAACAGGGACATTTCTGCTTCGCCGCCTGCATTCTCCACACTGCCCGCCAGAGGGCGCTCGGCCACCCGCCAGACTCCCCTGGAGCTGTTGGACTGACCACCCGGCGCCCTCCCTCCCGCAGCCCCCTCCCGGGCAGGGGTCGGGGTGGGGGGTCCTGAGAAATCACTGGAAAGGGAAGGGCTAGATAAACGGTGTCGGAGAAACTGCTGCCGTTACTGGGGAAATCCACTCATCTGAACCCGTGAGGATGCCCGTAAGGTCTCTGCGGTCACATTCCCGACAGGGTCCCCGCGCCCCTGCCCGCAGCACACCTCCTTGTCACCGGAGCCTTTCTTTTCTGTCCTCCGCACGTTAGGGATGTTTGGCGCTCTGTCACATCGGAAGGAGAAAAGGTGAACGTTCTTGCACTTGACATTGCACCCGTGCGCGGAGGGGGGGGGGGGGGGGGGACCCTGAGCCGGGCCCTGGCGCAGGTGGATGGAGCAGGTGTGCGGCGCACCGCGCAAGCTCCCGCCGCCTCCCGCACGCGCGTTTGCTGCAGCCGCCGCCCGCCCCCTAGTGTCTCCGAACCGCTGGCGGGTGGGCACCCAGCGGGCGGGCCAGGAGAGCAAGTGGGCTGGACAGTCATCCACAGTAAGTCCGCCTTTAAGAGGTGGGGGTGGGGGGGTAGACTGGCCGCGTCCCCCCCTGAGCACTCGCACGTCCCTGGTAGTTACAGGCGCAGGCGTGGAACTCACTCGCGCCAGCAGAGGGCGCCTTTGTGTCTGATGAGGACGCGCCATCACCAGGAGGCAGTTCTGCATATACGCTCCTCACTCATGCGCCTGCCCCTCCCTCCAGGGTCATATACGCTCCTCACCCACGCGCCCCCCGCCCCCACCCCAGGTCCTCAGGCCCCACAGCAGAGATGCAGGGGTGGGGAATCAAGCTAGACGGCATCCTGCCCTGTTCAGAAAGTCCTGGGGAAGGGTGCGGGAGGGATGTCCTAGACTAGAAGCAGTGGATTAAAGAGACACCAAATGCACAGGGGGTCTTGCTTGGATCCTGCCTTAGGAGAATGAGGACTGTAAAAGCCTTTTATGATGTGTGACCATGTGGACGGTTCGAACAGGTGTGGCCCGCAGCGGGGCTGGGAAGTTAGCTTTCTCCGGGGTGCCGGTGGCTGGTTCCCGGAAGGCCCCTGCCCTTAGGAGATGCACGCTGGGGTGATGGGCGTGAGGGTCATGATGACTGCAGGTTAGTTTAAATGATTCGGGAGGAAAACATTAGGAAAAGGAATGATGGCAACGCCATGGGCATTGCTGAGGCCGGGTGGTGGGTGTAAGGATGGATGGTCCTTGTGCTCTACTTTCCTGTGGGACTGACCGTCCATGGGGACAAGTTGGGATAAGGGACAGGGACCTGTCCTCTCGGGGGGCAGACTCTCAAGGTCGCTGAGACGCCCTCACTGTCTTTCACAATCACTGTTTGCCTATTGCAGTGGTCGGCAAACTCATTAGTCAACAGAGCCAAATATCAACAGGACAACGATTGAAATTTCTTTTGAGAGCCAAATTTTTTAAACTTAAACTATATAGGTAGGTGCATTGTTATTAGCTTAATGAGGGTCCTCCTAAGCTGGCCTTTGCTAAAAACGTCCTCCATCTGATGGAGGTACGTTCGCTGAGGTCGACCCCTTCCAACTCCCCCATCCACACTCGTCTTGTATACGTGTTTCGTCTGTCTCCTTTCGTTCATCCTCTCTATATGTCCAAACCATCTCAACATACCTTTCTCAATCCTCGACACTACATCTTCTTTCACCCACAACGTTCCCTAAAATTAACTTAATAAACTTTACTTAAAGTTTTAAGTCAACTGCGCACTGTACATGCGCGCCCGCACATGGTATTTTATGGAAGAGCCACACTCAAGGGGCCAAAGAGCCGCATGTGGCTCTCGAGCCGCGGTTTGCTGACCGCTGGCCTATTGTAAGGACAGAGGCGTCTATGGCTGGACAGTGCCTCGCCCATGGCGAACCCTGCCATATTTATCAATGGACGAATCTCTCTCTCTCTCTCTCTCTCTCTCTCTCTCTCTCTCTCTCTCTCTCTCTCTCTCGTTGCCTTTTCTGAATCTGTCCCTCTAGCTCTAACTAACCTTATGCCTTTATCTTTCCAAATGCTTTGGAACCGCAGAGTGAGGCGGTTCGGCAAAGATAAGGCCAATCAAAGAGACGATTGCTCCTGGTGGGTAGTTATCTGCAAGCTAAGGGAGTGGGTGCTACTGTTTGGCTATCAGAGGAAATCAGGGGTTCTCTTTGGCCCTCAGGGAGCCGCCAGGTTGTGTGCCGGTTGCTTTTCCTGGCGGCGTAAGGATTCACGGTAGCCCACCGGCCGCTCTGACTTAGGGGGGACAGGCGGTGCTCTGTGAAATGCATCCCTCCGTCCCTCGGCTCGTGCACTCTCCACTCACTCGTTCACTCAGGGCCGGGTCACCGGGGCCCGAACAGGGGACCGAGGTACAGCCAGAAAGTGGGAGCACAGTGGATGCTGATAGGCAAGCATTGCCATGGCCGGTGAGGACGGAGGCAGAAGCCATGTCATTCCGCACACAGTGTTCCTCAGGCGCCAGTCGCTGTCAAAAACCGTGATTCCTGCCACATCTGAGGATTACCAGCATTGCTCGTTTGAGCTCCTCCCTTAAGTCTAGTCACTTAGAACAACTTAAACGCCTACTTTGGCTCAACATTGCTAACCATAAAGTTATGCTTTTGATACATTACTTTTTTCTGACATGTTAAAATAAATTCACAGCCACATGATCACCGAATGTATCTTGAACATACGTGTCGTCGGGGACACAGGTACCACGCGAACTAGGAATCCTTTCACGACAGGGTTTGGGGGCAGATGGATTGAGGGGAAGGTCCCGGCTTGTGTGCGTGTGTGCATCTGAGTGCATACACATTCCACCTGACCGTTAGGTAGCCCCATCCTCCTCCCTTTAGGAGTGAATCGGTGATCTGCTCCATATAATCCATTTCCCAGAAACCGAGAGACGAGTGGACTCAGTGGCTGTTTGGGGGATTAGCACATGAGCTGGTTTCCTGACGACTCAGAGATCACATAGTTATTAAGTCCTGACGCAAGAAGAATTCATCTCTAGACACAAATATCACGTATGCCTCCAAAATGCAGAGGGATGAAAGTGCCGCGAAGGGACTGACAGCTTCACAGGCAGGGGCAGGCCCAGCTGGCTCCCTCCCAGGACTCAGAGTTCAGTCTTACAGTCAGCGGTACCCCAGGCTGCCTCCGCACTTCCCTTAGAGCAGATCGCCCTCATTTTCCCGATGAGCCACTTCGTGCTGCAGAGCTTGGGGCATGCAGGTTAGGAGGCGTCTTACGTGTATTCAGATGGCCTCTGCCTTTCCTTTGTCAAATATCCATCACAACCGACTACCTCCAGGCACTGAGCCGGCGCAGAAAGAGGGGGCGAGCCCCGAAGAGCAAGACACACAGGGTTCCTGCCCCGGGGAGCGTACAGGGCGCTGTGGGAGAGACACAGCCATCCCCCACATAAAATGGCGCTCAGGAGGTGGTGTTTGAGCTGAGATGGGGGTGGGGGGGACCTTTCAGGCAAAGGAAACATCCAGTGCAAAGACCCCCTCGAGGGGCGGGGCAGGGGTGGGGCAGGGGAGCGTCATGTCTCCGGGGAGTTGAGTGGGAGAGGCTGGAGCTTGGGACGGGTGGGGCTACACTGTGTTGGTCCTGCCTTGCTGGGCCCACAGACGCCGCAAGGAGTTCTGTCTCTGATATAAATGATGGGGAGCCATTGGAGGGTGGGACTCCTCAACAAAAACTGAGGCTCTGTCAGCGATGAAGGAGAGGTCAGTGGTGTGCGAACACCAGCCAGGGCGCTGACAGAAACACCCCAAACGTCGCCTCTTCAAAACCGCTGGTTCCCGCTCCCATCAGCAGTGCGGCTCACTGTGTCTCATCTCCGTGAGTGGCCTCGCCATTCACCCAGGAGCTCAAGCCAAAAATCTAGGTGCCCTCCATGGTACCCCCCTCGCGTTTTCATCCCCGAGTCCCCGTAGCTCATCCACGGCCAAGTCCTGTCCCCTCCGCCGCTCAACTGTCTCTGAAGTCATTCATTTCTCCCTGGCCTCCGTCAAATCCGCCTCTCGCTGAGCGATTGCAATGGTTTCCTAAACTCGCGCCTACGCTCGCGGGCCTCCGTAGGTCTGTCCTCCGGACAGTGGCCGCTCCCAGATACAGATCTGATGCCAGTCCTTCGCCCAAAGTCCAGGGACCTGGTACAGTGATCAGCCCGAGCCAGTCCTCGCAGATTCACTCCGCGCGCCCTTGACTGATTGTGGGCAGAGACCCAGAGACTCATTTCTGGTCACTGCTTCTAGAAAAGGTCCTCTTGCTCTTTTTCGAGAGACCATGGGGAGAAAAAGATCTTGTGTTGCTGGACGCCGCCTCATCTGGGCGTGCCTAGAAGGGCAGCAGCCATCTTGCTACCTGCCCGGAAATGCCATTCCCGGGAGTGCAAGGAAAGCAGTGGCCGGAGCTGGGGGTGCCACACCATGTAAGCCAGTGTATGTTAGGTTTCCTGGTGTGCGCAGGCCTAGGGATGCTAACTGATATGTGTCTGAGGCATCAGGGCCAAGTGGGCAGTTGGATACACTCCCCTGAGGCCCAGTGGCAAGGTCTGAGCGGGAGAAATATATGTGAGCCCTGGGTGTAGCTTGGGGGAGGGATGAGATTGCCAAGAAGAGAGTAGAGAGTGAGATCGGAGAAAACACGTGGGAGAGGTGGCCAGGGAGACCACCTGCAGCCAGAAAGCGCGTCCTGCTTGCCTGTTTACGCTGGCGGAGACACTAAGGGCATGACAGCATTCCGAGTGTATTCACACCGGACAAAAGGAAGCGGTTAGGAGTGTTTTCAGCGGGGGGAGGAAGTTGGACTTCAGGACCTACCCTGGGGATTAACATTAGGAGACTCTGGCCGCCTGCCCTTCAACCAGAGGCCCTTTTACCAGCATTTCAAAGGCGACCACAGTTGAACAATAACCCAGTTAGAGAATATTTCTCCTCTTTTGAGTGAGGCGGAGACGGGGCGAGCATCCCATGAGTGAGCAAGGGCTCCGAGGTGTGAAAGCTAACGGCAGCAGGCACAGAACTGGTCTGGGGACCAGCGGGGGAAGTGAGATGGGAACGAGCTGAGTGTAGACTGTATTCAGTCAGCAATGACTTCTGATTCAACGGAAAGCTTTTGAGCAGCGCTAGAGTTGGTCAAGGTGTTCCAGACCAAAGGGATGGCTGGGGAGGTGAAAATAAAAATGAAGGCTCAGAGGACCAGAAGCTACAGGGCTTCGGGAGAGATTCTCAAACTTCAGCACCAGAATCACAGAGGAACTTGTGACAAAGGTAAATTCCTGCTACTCGTCCCCCCATATTTTCAGTCTCATATGTTAGTCAGTGCCAACAGGAATCCCCGATTTGGGAGGTGGTGGTGAAGGAAACAGTTCAATTATGATAGAGAGCAGGGCGGTGAGGCGGCCCTGGGAGGGAGGCAGCCCCAGGGGTCTGTGCAGGCTGGAATGTGGACCATGCCCTCGCCTAGAGGGGAGCTGACTTATATACATAGAAATCCCCGCCCCTGGTCCCTGATTGGCCTCCCCTTATGCAAATGAAGACTCCAAATCCTTGCAATATGATTGGTCCAAAAACCACTGTCCTGATTGGTCAGAATGAGTCACTTGGATTAATTAGTGGAGCTGTGCAGTGGATTCAACAGGGAAAGTATCTGTCTTATTGGTTGAAATAGGATTCCAGGCATTCCTTTATAAGGCCTGGCTCGGATGCAGGAACACAGGGTTCCGCAGGCGTCTCCCAGGGGTGCCGTTTGCGGAGAGCCCGTTGGGGAATGGCTGCTCTGCTCTGCTTTTCCTTTGAGCCCAGCGAGGCAGGAGCCATCTGGGGGTACCTCCTTTCTCGGGGTCCACACGTACATTTTCCAAAGCCCCTCGCAGGCTACCCTCAAGGGGCGTTTGGTTGGCATCTCAGTACCCATTAGCTTCGTCCTCTCTGGCAAGGAAAGCGGCGTCCCTCTCTATTACTTAAGGCTCCTTCCAGGTCCCTCCCCGCGCCGCAGACCCTCGCTTCCCGGCCCACGCGGCGGTCAGGGCTGGCTGGCCCCCAGGGGCAGGTGAGCGTCCACGGCCGCCCGCCCTGGTCCCCCAGGAAAGCCACAGCCGGCCTTTCTGAATGGCCGCCGAGGTTACGCATAAACAGGTGGGCGGGTCTCTATGGTGACTGGCTGACGCCGGGCCCAATTGTGTACCAGCCCCTCCATCTCCCTGGCCGACACTTCCGGGATGTGACCAGTCAGTCCTTCAAGGTGCCAGGAGGTGCCAACCCGAGCGGAGTAGACGGAGTGGAGTCCCCCTCGACCCGCCCCGCCCCACGCTCCCGGAAGAACGTGCTTGACAGACAGGTCCGGGAGCCAATGGGCGCTCGGCGGCTGGGCGGAAGCTTCGGGGGCGCGGTGACTAGGGCGGGGCGGGCGGAGCGGGCAGGGGCGGCGGGCGCCGCGGCCAGAGATGCTGTCGGGACGCGAGGGGCGAGGGCGCATAGCGGCGGGAGCCCTGCTCTGAGGGCGTGAGGTGAGGCTCCGCCAGGCCGACCGGCGGCCATGAGGGGGCTGTGCGTCGTCCTTCACCCGCTGCCAGCGTCCTCGGCCGGCGGTCTGCCCGCTGGGCTGGGAGCCCCGGGCTCCCCAGCGATGGGGCGGGGCTGGGACCTGCCCCTGTTGGCCGGCACCTGCTGCCAGGGCGCTGGGTCTGTCCGGCAGCGGGCAGCGGGCAGCGGGGCCAGGCGCCCGGCCGCGGGGAGAAGGTAGCGACCGGCTTAGCTGCCCCATCCAGGTCCCGCCCTGCCCGGCCCCGTTCCCACGGCCCTCGGCCCTCAGCCCTCCCCGGGGTGGGGTGGGGGGGGGAGTGGGGTCGGGCGGGGCGGGCGCGCCCAGCCTCCGAGACCCTCAGCCTGGCACGGGCTCGCGGCCGGCGCCCGGAGAGGTAGCCGTGAGGCCGGCCCGCGTCGCATCAGCCGAGACAGGTTTGTCCGGATTCCCCGCGCCAGGCGGAGGTTTCCGCCCTGTGCCCGTGCCCATCTCGCCTGCCCCCAGCGAGCCGCCCCACCAGGCTGCCCCGTCTTCTCCCGGGCCCTGCTCCGCGCCCCTAACGTGGAACGTGAGGCTGTTGGCGGCGACGTGCTAACGGGAGCCCGTGCGGGACCCACCGCCCTGTCCGCTTCCCTGGGACGGGCCGAGACCCCCTCCTTAGCCCGATGGAAAGACATGCAGGCGGTGCCCTGACCGCCAGGGCGGACCTTATGTCCCATCTGCCACCCCTGCTGGAGAGGGTTGTAGTCGGGGGAGACACACCCCAGAACTGGTGTCTCGTTCCCGAAAAGGGGCTACAGCTTCTCCAGGGGCTGTTGCTGCTGGAGGCACGGGCAGTGGCAGTGGGCCTTCCGAGGAGGGAGGGTTCTTCCAGGCAGAGGCATTGGGGCTACCCTCGGAGGGGACCTTGCGGGGTGACCCACCCCGTGAATTCCCAGGGCTGTGATCAGTGTCCCAGAGGGACGGTCCCTCTTCCGTCAGGTCTGTCCTAGACGACAGTGGGGTGCTGATGCCCCCACATTTTTTTTTTTTTTTTTTTATCTCCCAACGATTTTCATCTTAGTCATCTTTAAAGGCAGGTTTGCAGTTCTTGGCAATAAGTTGGTATTTACTGGCCACAAGTCAACAGGTTGGTGGAACAGCCAGCACCCTCATTCCTGTGACTTAATTACCGGGTGGCACGGTGCCGTGGAAAGCAGACCTCATTAAGTGGCACCTCTGTGGGTGTCACAGGCGTGCAGAGAACACACTTTTGCTGAATAGGGACATCTGGGACCTGGGTCTCTCATGATCTGCTTCTCAGGAGTTTAGGAAGACGCTGCTCAGTGTAATGCTGCCCCTCCCCACCTGCAGCCGTCTGCGCCGGCAACAGGAGTTGAGAGCAGGGGCTGGGTCTCCCTGGGCCCCGCCCCAGCGGACAGTGCCGGCTGAGCTGGCTTGCTGGTCTCCTAGGCCTCTCCCTTTGTTTTCAGTCAGCGACCCCTGCCTGTGGCCGTACAGCTTCGGGGAAGCTTTTGCACCCCTCTCTGCACCTGCACCCTTGGACGCTGGGCCTGCCGTCTCCGTACCTGAAGCAGCTGGCAAAGGTCGTTTCTCGGGAAGGGTGCTGACAAGACCCCGGTCGCCCTCTCTGTCCCACACGCTCGCCCTCCTGTTTTTTCTTATTTCTTTGGCTGCTACTTTCGCTAGAGAGAATCATTTTGTGCTTAAGACAACTCACTGGGGACACGCTTAAATCGGCCCCTTTGGGCCTTTAATTTCCCACACCCCCGAGCTCAGTGCCAGACTCGGAGTCGCGCGGGTACAGTGCATTCTGAAGCTGGCCTGCCCAGTCAGATGCCCGCGAGCACCCTAGCAGCGACGGTCACAGCCCGGAGCTTCTGCGTTTCCCCTGGGTTTTTGTGACTGTGTTATATAATGTGTGTGTATTTCTATGGAGAGTGGCACACTGAGTTCTCATTTCAGAAGTCTTAACTTTTGGTGTTGGCCATTTCCCCTCTCATTTGCAGGTAACGTGACTTTGGGGACGGACGTTGGATGACGCAGGCGCTGCACCTCTCTGTGTGGAGCGCACGTTATGAACCCTTTCTGGAGCATGTCTGCAAGCTCTGGACGCAAAGTAGGTACAGCTGGTACATGTGGTGAGGAAACCGTTTGCATAAGAACAGAGGCCAAAAGAATTCATACTCGGGTTGCCCTGTAATCTTAACAAGATCATCTGGTTTTTCTAGTTCAGGCTTTACTTTTGAGAACCAATTATTTTGTGGATTAAAGTTAGTTTCTGAGACGGAGGTCGCATCTCCAATAGAAATGACTCGGGTAGCACTGAGTAGGACTGTTTGGGTAGGCGTTGCTGACATGTGATGACTGTCACACATCCCTGCAGTTGCCTATCTCCCTGAACCTCGAGATGCCGTGGGTAGGAAAGCCTTGGGAAAGGCTAGCCCAGTGTGGTCAAGTCCGGCTCGAGGCCGCTGGTTTAATTTTTCTAAATAAAATGTCTGTTTTTAGTGGCAAAAATAATACATTTTAGGAAAGCCGACTGCACGCAGACAGGACACATACAATGCATAATCCCACCGCTGTGAGGGCACCGCCACACATCTTTTTCCTAGGCACATGACATACATTTAAGGCAGCAATGAAACGGCCAGACGGTAGTTTCTCTTGACTCCCCTAGGCCTCTCTCTACTGTGGACGACGGTTTGTGCGGGGGAGAGTCCAACTGTGGCAACGTGTGCATTAGGGACAGGATCACAGTCGGACCCAGGGCAAGTGAGAGAACAGCTTCCCTCCTTGTTTCTAGCCCGAGCGCTAATGTCAGGCAGCGGCTCACTTCACTCATGGCTGGTTTCTGAGCTGCTGAGCGCCTGACCTGCAGCATCGAGCTGCTCAGGGACGGGGCTGGTCGTGCAGCGTTGTCTAACTGTTTAGTAACCCCTGGCCCTCTTTTGGGGGCCCCCAGGAAAAATCATTTCTTTCTTTGTTTCACTTAAATCTCGTGAATATTGGCTTCCTGGTCTCTAGGACGCAGCCAACAGGAGTTTTCTAATGTGTTGGTCTTGCTTCAGCTCTGTTCTGCTCTGGCTAAGGGCCCTGCACAAAGGCCTTTCGAGTCATCTCGGCCCTGGTGCCAGGATGTCCTTGCAAAAGAGCAGTTCCAGCTTTTAGGTCATCGACTGAGTCCAGCACACACACTCCTGTGGTTTAAGAATCAGCCTAACAGATGCTCTCCCCACTTCGTCCTGAATAGCGATCTGACGGTGAAGAGAAGACAGTGACGGGGGACGGGAAGACCAGCCCTCCACGCACAGCTCCAAAGAAACAACTGCCTTCTATTCCCAAGAACGCTTTGCCCATCACGAAGCCCACGTCTCCTGCCCCCGCAGCACAGTCAACCAATGGCACGCACGCTTCCTACGGCCCCTTCTACCTGGAGTACTCCCTCCTTGCAGAATTGTAAGTTCTTATAGCCGTTTGGGTACGTTTTGAAGGTAAAGAGTGAAATGTACTCTGATGGACTGGGCTCACTTAGTGGCCATTTAATCTCAGAGCTCACACTCACACCTCTGCAGTGTCAGCCTTGATATTTACAGAGAGGGAGGCTATGGCAGGCAGTATAGGCTTTCTAACCAAGGCCTAAGGACTGTCATATGTTTGCGCAAATGTAATGGCTCTCATTCAGATCTTGGGTAAATAGGATTTGAAGGCAAATGTGTGCTTTGATTTCCTCGCCTGTTTGGAGAGCACGAAGTGGGAGAAAGGAAGCTTTAGTAAGTACGGATAGCAGGTCAGGGACTTAATTTTGTCTTCCTTCCCAGGAAGTGAGGCATTCACCTCCCGAGAGGTCATGGAGGATGGGACAGTGGGAGGGTGGCCATCCAGCCTTCCCCGGGGCAGGCTCCGCTGGAGGCTTTGTGCTACGTTCTGGGGGTCACCTTGTGAGAGGCCCCCGACCCCTGAGAAGGCGGTCCCAGTAGGCGGAGGTGGGAAGCCAGGCCCTGGGAGGCAGTAATAAAGGAACTGGAACTGTCAGTCCAGAGAAGGCCTGTCACTAGAAAGGGATCTGACTTCTCCTGTGACCTCCCAAAGCTGAAGGAGGCGACACAGGGACGTCATAAAGGTGTGGGCTGACTGGTCGCAGAAACCAAGGCTGGACTGCGGTTGCACGTGCGCGGGTGCGAGGAGGTGATGGCGCAGCGCCTGGATACCTCGGGGCTGCCAGTGACTGAGAGCAGGTGGCACTTGATGAAATAATCTGTCCCAGGGGCAAAAGTGTGGACAATTCTTAGTTTCAATTATTTAGCAATTCCTTTGCACACAGCACTTGATACTGAGCCGCCTGTGTCCTAGCCTTGTGTCGCAGGCGTGCGCTTGGTGCCGATAGATAACTAGGTTGAACAAGTGCCATAGTAAAGCAGAGCCCCGAGTCTCTAAGCCCAGTGTGTACGACACCGAGTTATAAATCGGTGGCACACCTGGAAAAGAGACAATAAAATTCCTTTGTACATGCAGTTATTTTAAAGGCACCCCTGAGCCCTCTGTCCCAGCGCCAGCGTTGTAAGGGCAGAGGGGCTGAGCCGCTGTCTGAGGGCCGAGTGATGTGGGGGCAGGGGCCCCGCAGGCTGTGGAAGGGGCCTTGTGCTGGAGGCTGGCAGTGCCTGGACAGGCTTCCATTGTGGCACTGAGCCCTCCGTCTGCGCAGCACACACAACGGCCCTCTGGCAAACTGTACTGCGGTAGCTGCATCTGTCAGCCACGCTGCTGTGGGCGCGCTCAGTGGTGGTGACTTAAAAGGAGTGATTGCCTTCAAGTTAGGCAAATAGGTAATAAAAACTATCAGCGAAGGTCCACTGTGCTACTTCACACTTACAGCTCACAGCCGGACTTGTTTGGGCTCATAGCTCATTTTGGGGCTCATGGCTCCGTTGCAAGGAACAGCCTGGCATGGCTGGGGTGGGACGAGGTCCCAAAGAGCCCGAGCAGCCCGTGTCTGCCCTGTCTGGGCACCCACCGCTTCCCACCCTGGTCCCAGAGGGTGTGCCTGCGCCGCGGGTCAGTTGAGAGCAGAAGCACACTGCGGACAAACCTACAGTTGGCCCTCTGCCCAGGGACGGGGTCACACCGAGGGCATCACCTCCGTGAGGGCACTGGCATGGGACCTTATTCTTCATGTCCTCGCGCTGGTTCAGTGGCTTTGGGATGTGTGTGGGGAGCTCTGCTGTGCAGCCACAGAAGCAGCACCTTGACCGGTCCTCTCATCTACCTCCAGCTCAGTTTCTGGGATGATGTTCGGGGAGGTGGGTTTCTGGGAGGAAAACTTGATTCTTAGTGTGTCCCTGTGTTTGGCTTGAATTTCTTTATCTGGGCTCTTGGTGGAAGCCAATAGGGGGCAGCTGCCGGGGCCAGGTGCGGGGCTGGGATGACTGGGCCTGGCGGGTTAGGGCCTCAGCTGCCCCTGGAGGGACTGTTTCTCCCAGAACAGGACCGTGGGTGGCTGGTCGGTCACTGACCTCCGTCCGGCCCTGCTCTGCTCTGTTGTAGCACCTTGCTGGTGAAGCAGAAGCTGCCGGGAGTCTACGTGCAGCCGTCTTACCGCTCAGCGCTAGGTAAGCACGTTCTCTACCGCGGCAGCACGTTTGGTCCTCTGACCCTCGGCCTAAACCGCGCTTGCTTCTCCTGCAGTGTGGTTTGGAGTGATCTTCATTCGGCATGGACTGTACCAAGATGGAGTATTTAAGTTCACAGTGTACATCCCTGATAACTACCCGGACGGCGACTGTCCAGTAAGTGGGAGCTACAGCCTGGCTCCGTGCACTGGCCAATGAGGAGGCCCACAGGGCGCTGAAGGTGTCTGGGTTCCTTTCCTGACCAGCCACTTTGATGATGGTTCCTAAGGTGTCTGTCTGCTCCTCGGGCTCTGGGGGGCGGGCCTGTGCCTCGCTGTGTCCTCTGCCACGTCAGCCTCCACCTGGAGCTGCGCCTGTGCTCTCGCAGCCACGCCGAGGCTGACCGCACTCGGGGCCGCGGTGCTGGGTAGAGCACCCCTCCCTGCAAAACTTCATGGCGAAGGACAGCGGGGAGAGGAGTTAAGTGCAGCTTCTGGCACAACTGCCTTGTCCAGACACTCTTCCTACCACCGTCTGTGAGCCTATTGCCTCCATGGCCCCCACTGAAAGCTACGTCTCCCCCCATATAGCGCTTGGTGTTTGATATCCCCGTCTTCCACCCGCTAGTGGACCCCTCCTCAGGTGAACTGGATGTGAAGAGAGCATTTGCCAAGTGGAGGTGAGTGACTACGTGTTTCCTTTAGTGACGGAGTCAGTAGGACGCCTCAGTCATGCGCCTGTCTCCCTTAGGCGGAACCACAACCACATCTGGCAGGTGCTGATGTACGCGAGGAGAGTGTTCTACAAGATCGACACAGCGAGCCCCCTGCACCCCGAGGCTGCGGTCCTGTAGGTCACTGCTTTATTTCAGCTACGTCTGAGAATGCAGCCACGGAGAGTGCGTGGGTAACTTTCTGACTTACACTTTTAACACAGGTATGAGAAAGATGTGCATCTGTTTAAAAGTAAAGTGGTTGACAGTGTGAAGCTGTGCACGGCCCGCCTGTTTGACCAGCCTAAAATAGAAGACCCCTATGCCATCAGGTAAGTGGTTCCTACCTAGACAGACCGCACCCTGCAGCCCCGTGCTGCCATGGTCCAGGGGGACTTACACTAAAATGGGGAGTGACAGGGAAGATTCATCACCTGTTCACTGACAACCCTGATTACTTGTAACAGATTTCAGACACCCCTTCGGCTCCTTAAACACAAGGCTTTCCATCGACAGGCACGTTGTGCCAGTGGTGAGCTATTTAGTGACTGGGTTCCTGAGGACCTGTCATGTGCTGTTTCAAGTGTCTGTCAGCAGGAGCCCCTCTGAAACAGCCACAGCCCGTCTACGGTCAGATGTGGAGAGGGCGGGAAGCTGCGTAGGGGAGAGTGACTAGAGTGGGACAGTGGGTGCTGGACTCTGTGACACGTGACCTTGGGGCCGAGTGGGGAGAACAGACCTGAAGGATGGGTGGTTTAGCGCTCCGCACACTGGTGCTGGGGAGGCAGCGTACGCAGTGGGTAAAGGCTTGGGCTCTGCAGTGGTTAGCTTTGTGACTGGAACAATTACTTGCTTTTCCGGTGCCTCAATAATAGTACCTCAGGGGTTGTTTCGAGGCTTAAATGAGCTAACCCAGGGAAAGTACTCTGTAAAGCATGGTTATCATGTGAGAAAATAATTTAGATAACGCCTAAAACTTACACGTTGACAACTGATTAAAGGCTTTTCTTTAAATCCTTATTAGGTTTTGTTATGGAACTGGCTTAAGTATTAAAAAACAGATGTTCCGCAGATTTAGTAAGCCAAGCAGTTTTTAAATCTTTTTCTCTTCCTTAAGCTTTTCTCCATGGAACCCTGCTATACACGACGAAGCCAGAGAGAAGATGCTGACTCAGAAGGTGAGTAGCTGGCCGTCTCCGAGATGGCCACTTGCTGACCCCTTTCTAAGCTCATTCTGCACAGACACCTGTGGGGAGACGGGTTTGCAGTGCTGGCATCTCACCAGTCGCTTTCTGGTGTCTGTTTTGATTGTGCCTAGAAGAAGCCTGAAGAACAGCACAATAAAAGTGTTCCCGTGGCCGGCCTGTCCTGGGTAAAGCCCGGCTCCGTACAGCCCTTCAGTAAAGAAGAGAAAACGGGAACCGCCTAGGAGCGGGACTGGGGTGACGGGTGCACCAGGCACTTTCCTGCGGACGCAGGCCGCGGCCAGGCTGACGGCGGCCAGGGCTGCTGCGAGTAAACTGTGCGAACGAGGACTGGCGTCAGTGGTGTCCGTATGCGCTAGGTTCTTACAGCAAGTTCTGGAAACCTCTCTCTAAGTAACGCGTTATTACTTCTGTCAGAAGTGTCTTTAGGGTGGTTATCTAGTTCAGTACTCCAGATTATTGGGGACCTTGAGGCTTAAGTATTTTTCTGAATATAATGCTAAAGGTAAGTGGCATTCATTTGGAACTACTAGAGTAGACAGAGTTTAGCACTACGTAATGATTTTTAAATCGGTGTCTCAGTTGTACATACGTTAGGAAGTGGAGAGGAAAGGTGTAGAGAAAGCAGGTTCTTTAGCGTACTAGCACTTTCAGCAGGAGACCACCTGACTCAGTCTTCAGCCCACTGTCTTACTGATTTACGAATCACTACCAGGTGCATGTTAGGGGAGTGAGGAGGCCAGAACACTGGTTCATAGTTTTTGTTTTTTTTAAAGCAAATTACTTACTGTATTTTTATGGCAGGAGGGAGAAAAAGTGTTAGAACAGTTTCTAATGAAGTCAAATATTTAAGTGATGAATGACTAATGTGTTTTGTAGAGACAAAATAAACCAATAAATGATGGTTCTTTGTCATTTATGCAGGAAACTAAATACCCTTTTCTCAGTATAACTGAACAAAGATTAATTTATAAATGCTTTATTGAAAAATACACTTATTTTCATATAAAATTACAGTAGCAGTAAGTATCTGGAGAGGTTTTATAAATATTTTTGCAGAACACTATTCTAACTGAACAGTGTAATTAAAGTTCCGTATTTCTTTCAGAGCAATATGAAGTTACCTAGTAACTTTGTTTATACTGATTCAATTTACAATTGAATTTTCTCCCTAATATTATTCAGTCAACTTAAAAACTGCTGGAACAATACTGATTAATAAAGTTATATATAGATACTTCAATAGCTGTTAAATAACCTTTTCTAATTTGTATGACTGGTACTAAGTACTCCATGAAAACCTAAACTCTTTTTTTAAACTGCCAGGAACATACCAAAAGATAGTTTAAAATGTATCACCTTAGTAGACACGTCTTTTGGAAAACTACCTCCTAAAGGAAGTGGCCATAATTTTTCATATTAATTTCCTTAATTCAACTTGATTTAAAAATCTTCACTTAGCCAGCCGATCCCTATTAATGGGGGGGGGAGGGGGGGGGACCTGGGAAATTTAAAATACGTGCCCCAAAGGTGGCTACTGGGGCTTTAACAGTTCTAAAAACGTACAAAAGCATGAAAGAGGGCGTTGAGAGTTTAGCCTAGCAGTTTTGTACTTAATAAAGTTCACATTGTAGAAAGTGCCATCACAATATACAGCAAAACCTGGATTACGAAATCATGCTTTTTACAGCCCAAAAGTGCCACTTATTACACAACTCACGCACACCACACACCAAACACGCAAGCACCTGCCACGCTGCACCACACCTATAGGAGGGAAGGATACACACAGGGACCGGGAGACGCCGGCCATCTGAGCTTGGGCCCTCTCCCTTGTTAAGTTTCAAAAATGCAAAATTCTCACACTCCTACCAAGTGTTTTAGGACAGGATACCTAGTTTTTGTGTTGCTTTTCAGGAGCGCCAGAGCAGACCACAAACAGGTAGGAATGGACTGAAACACCCTCTGCTGGAGGGTCAGCAGAGACCGCACGCGTTTCACATGCTTTGTTCTCTACAATACCTGTAAGAGCTTTGCCAGAGAGTTAACAAATCCCAGACTGGTTTCTAAGCAGCCTTGACGGCAAGCACTGAGTGGTAGGAAAAAGGCAGGTGGGATGAGTAAAAATAAGGGTATTGGAAAGAGTAAGGAAAAGAGCCCCGCAATCTAGCATGCATTAAATGATGCTGTGAAACAGTTTGTGAAAGGGGTTTCAACACAACAGACTAACCTCAGTGGGAACCTCGGTCATTAGCTACATCTTGGAGACGGCGTATTAAGGCGGTATGATTTTCTGGGCAAATTCGTTTGGCAGGCGATTCACTTCCATCTTCCAAAAGAATCCCTCTCTTTTTGGTTGGAGTTTCTCCTGTCCGTATCATACTGTTAATTTCTCTTAGTCTCTAGAGCGAGGGAAAAACAGATAGAAAAACTTGAAAACCCGAATACACACAATGCGCTGTTAAGGCAAAGAACCTCAAGTGAGTTAAGTGGTTTACCTTGAGGAGTTTGAACATCTCCATGGAGAAAAGAACTACTGAGCTACCCAGCCTCCCCATGTCAACCTCTCTGCTGGCTGAGCCGATGACTGGGCGGAGGAGGAGGGCTTAATGAGCTCCGCAGATGGAGTGCAGGGACACTTTTCCAAAATGCAAGAGCTGACACATTGTGATTTCTACGGTAGTTATAGATCATGACATTGCTAGTAACGTAATCAATTACATACATCCCCATTCTCCTCCTTTAAAAAATAGCATGATTTTGCATTGTATTATGCCGATTTTTTTTAAGTCTAGCAGCCATTTTCAACAGGAATTTCACAAGAGAAGTAAGCCTTAATTCCCTAAAGCATCCTTTGTAAGTAACCTATGGGTATGATCTGGAATGTCATAGTTACTTGTTATCCTTGGAAGATTGAGAACAGTTGGGCAAATTCTCTGCGAGGAACGCCTCCTGAGGAAACACTGCCTGGTGCTGGAGACCAGATTGGTTCTCAGCGCCTTCAGCGAGCAGTTCCTCCAAAGCCCCAAAGCCAGTGTACCCCACTCTTTTCTGGTCGTGTTTGGTTAAAGGGTTTTTTCATGTGCTGCCTCCTTGCCCTTGTTTCCTGTTGGGAAGCACATGAGCATATATGTTCACATGCACTTCCTAGAGGAAACGTGCTTAGGCCTTCCGTGTCTGTGTGGATCACAGCACTGCATGCAGTACTCTCCGGTATGTGGCGTGGTTTAACCCCCTCTGGACATGTTACTCCTCCCAGCTGTTCGGTGCTGTAAGCAATGCTACCATGCTGACTGTTCAACAAGCTGCACCTGCCCTGACCCACCGGTGTCCCTCATGACCAGTCATCTCACTTGATACCACTTGGTAATAATCATCCTTGATCTCAGTTATCACCTAGTAAGTCATGATGACAAATATTTCTCCGACCAACAGTCTAATATTGCTTTCTATTATTGGAGAAACTCCCAATTCTGTGCTACAGTTTTTTCTGGCACCTTCCAGTTGGTGATCATGGACAAGCAGGATTGAAAGTCACAACTCTGGATCCTTAACTTAAAATTTACCCTGGTAAGTGTACAGTTCTACACGTTTAACAAATACACAGTCATGTAATCACCACGGTAAAGATAGAAAACAGTTCCTTCACTCTAGGAAATTCCCTCGTAGTCCCAGCTACCCCACCCCAAGGCAGTCACTGATGTTCTGTCCCTACAGTGTCCTAGACATGGAATCAAGACAGGAAGTGGCCTGATGAATGAGTGACTTCCACTTAAGCATTAATGCCCTTGAGGTTCATTTTCGTTGCTAAGCGTTATCAGGGCTGAGCCTACTACCCGGGCCTGTTTACCCATTAACCAGCTGGAGGACACGGGGGTGGTTTGCTACTGTCTGGTAAACAGGAATAAAGTCATAAGCGTTCATGAGCATGTTTTGCATGAACCTAAGTTCTCATTCCACATGGGTAAATCCCTAGGAGTGAGGCTTACTGGCTATATGGTAAAGGTATGTTTAACTCTACTTTCCAGATAGAACGTCTCTGCTATACCATTCTGTATTCTGACCAGCAATATAAGTTCCAGTCGCTCTACATCACTGCCAGCGTTTGCTGTGATTAAGATTTTAGTCATTTTCATAGGCAGATAATAGGTGAAGTGTTAAAATCTTTTGCCCATTTTTAAATCTGGTTTTCCTTTTGAGTTTTGATAATCCTTTACATACTGTAGGTACAAATCCTTTATCAGCTATGAGATCTGTAAAATTTTCTTCCAGTCTGTGGCTTGTCTATTTAATTTTGATCATCTAATGTGTCAGTCTTTTATAGATTGTGCTATTGATGCTGTATCTAAACCCATGTTCACAAAGATTTGCTTCTATGGTTTAACTTTTAAGTTTCATAGTTTAGGTCTGTGGTTCATTTTGAGTTAATTTTTTGTATATGATACAGTGTCTGGGTGCAACTTTACTATTTTTGAATACAGGTATCCAATTGTTTCAGCACCAACTACTGAAAAGGCTATCCTTTCTCCACTGAATTGCTTTTGCACCTTTGTTGAAAATTAGTTGGCCTTTTACACGGTGGGGCAAAAGAGGTTTACAATTGGTCATATAGAAAATAATACAATAAATAATAAGCATAAACTGCATACTCACCACTGTAACCTACACGCGCCCCACCTGAACGTGCGGCCTGTTTCTGGATTGTTCTATTGCTCTGTCACTCTACTTTCACCAGTACCACACCGTTTTGACTACTGTGGCTTTATAGTGAGTCTTGAAATCAGACAGCTTGTGTGTTTCATTTTTCCAAAATTGTTTTAATTATTCTAGTCCCTTTCCATTTTCATGTAAGTTTTGGAACCAGTTTAACTTATATAAATAATTCTGCCAGGATTTTGACACGAATTGAGGTTGAATTTGTAGATCAAGTGGGAGAAAACAGATCTTGATGTTTCCAGTTCCTGGACATGATATATATCTCTCCATTTTCTCAATCTTTAACTTCTCTCACCAAGATTCTGTGGTTTTCAGGATACGAATCTTGCACATCTTTTATCAGACTTGACTGTAAGTGTTAAGTTTTTAATGCTGTGTATAGTGTTTAAAATTCTTTTACTTCTCCTTACTCATTGCTGGTATATAGAAATACGTTTATTTGATTTTTGTATGTTAATTATGGAACTTGCCTAATCTTTAGTTCCAGTAACTTTTTGTAGATTATGAATTTTCCGTGTAGAAAACTATGTTGTGAACAGAGACAGTTTTCTTCCTTTTCCATCATGTGCGTCTTCTCTATTTTGCCTTATTGTGTCTGACAGGACCTACAGTTACAATGTTGAATAGGAGTGGTAAGAGCAGAGATCCTTGCCTTCTTCCTGATCTCAGAGGGAAGGCATCCAGTCTTTACCATCAAGTATGAGGTTGGAGATAATTTCAAATATATATATATCTTCTTTATCAGGTTGAGGAAGTCCCCTGAGAGTTTTATCATGAATGAATGTTGGATAGGGCTATTAAAACTACTTCCTTTTTACTGTTTTAGAAGTTTGTCTTTCAAGGAGTTAGTTCATTTCATCTGTATTATCACATTTATTGGCACAAAGTTGTTTTTTTATCCTTCTTACTTAGTCTATACAGAGATGTATCTTTTTTATCTTCTCAAGAAAACCAAAACCTTTAACTTTAAATGGCTTGTATTTTCTCTACTTTCAGTTGTTTATTTCATTGATTCCTGCTCTTTCTCAAGTTGCTTAGTCACTAACTTGAGACCTTTTTTCTTCCTATATAGGTATTTAGAACTATAGTTTTTCCTCTTAGCACTGTTTTTATGCATTTCACAAATTTAGATATGTTGATTCAGAAATACACAATTTAGTTTCCAAAAATTTGGGGATTTTCTAGAGAAAATACATTATCTGAATCCTTTACAATTTATTGAGACTTGTTTTGTGATCCAGAATGTGTTCTATCTTGGTAAATGTCCCATGTGTACTTGGTGCCACTGGAATGTTCTGTAAACACCAGTTAGTCAACAACATTAATGAATCCTGAATATCCTTACTGATTTTTCTCTACTTGTTCTTTTTTTTCTATTTAGGATTGTATGTCCTTATCATTAGGAAATGACCTTCTTAGCACTGGTAATATTTTTTGCTTTTCAGATATTAATATAGCAATCCAAGCTTTCTTTTGATAAGTGTCAATAGAGTATAACTTTTTCTATCCTTTTACTTTTTTAAAAACAGAGCTTTATAGAGATATAACTCACATACCATATAATTCATCTACTTGAAGTGTACAAACCCATGGCTTTTAGTATGTCTCTGGAGTTGTGCAATCATCACTCTTTCGTCAGCTTAGAAACTCTGTGCCTTCCACTTCCCCAGCAGTCAGCACTCACTAATCTACTTCTGCTTCAGTGAGTCTGCCCTCTGGACATTCCATATAAAGGGATCATGCATGTGTATCCTCTTGGGACTGGCTTCTTCCCTGAGCTGGATGTGTTCAAGGTCCACCAATGTTGTGCCTGTGTCAGTACTTTTTTATTGGAGTAATATTCCATCGTATGGATCTACATTTTATTTATTAGTTAATGGGAGTTTGGGGTTATAATCCTTTAAACTAGCTGTGTCTTTAAAGTGTGTTACACATAAACAATAAATAGTTGGGTCTTGCTTTTTCACCCAGTGTTACAATTCTGCCTTTTAATTGGTATTCTTAGACCATTTACATTTAATTGCTATTTTTCCATACGTCCTTCCATTTTTTAGCCCTTCTTTTGAAATGAGTATTCTGATTTCCCCCCCATTTAACTCTTAAATTCCAACTGGATTAATATGGTTATAGTTATAAGAGGAAAATCTAATAGAGGAAATGCCAGAATCATTTCATCGAACTCCAGTTGTTTTTAGGGGCTATTGCCATTTTTGTTCACAGTACATAATTGCACTGTGAATATTATTGGCATAGATTAAACCTATGAAATGGTTTGAGGAAATTATAAATCTTTTTCATATGTGGTCTTCCTATTCAGAAACATTAGTGTAATTCCAATTTTTTAAAACCGCTCATTCAAGTTAAATAATTTGATACATTTATTCTAAGCTATGTGATACTTTGCTGCTATTTATAGAAGTTTTTCCATTATATTTTTGAACATTTTTTTTACTTATTTTCCTTTCTATTTTTAAAGATTTCAATCTTACAGAAAAGTTGGAAGAATAGTACACTGAGTACCCATTACCGATTAACACCTCATTTGTCCTCTCTATAATCTTATAGTTGAACCATGTGAAAGTAAGTTACTGACACTGGAACAGGGCATCTCTGACTACCTCAAGCATATTCTCCTACATAACCCAGTACCACCATCAAAACCAAAGAAATTTAACAGAAACTTTAAGGTAAATATCAACATTAAAGTCCACATCACGTTTCCCCACAAAAATGAGCTTTACAGCCAAGTTTCCCATGTAGGACCTACTGCGTGTGGCTGTCATGTCTGTTCAGTTTCCTTCACTCTCTAACAGGCCCTCCCCCATCTGCCATTTCTCATCATGTTTACATTTGTGAGAGTGCAATCTGTAAATACAATGTCACATCAGGCCTTTGGGACCAGCCACACTCCTCACCCCAGCATGATTCCCAGCGGCTGCTGCTTCCTTGAGCCCCTTTCCTTGCACACTCGGCCACCTGCTGACTTTGACCACCAGCCTGACGCAAGCTTCCCTCCCCGTCCCCGCCTCAGACTGAGGCCGAGGCGGCTCACAAGTCCAGGCTACGTGGCCAGCACCGCGCTGTGCAGAATGTCCATCCCCCGCCAAAGACAGAGCCAGGGGACAGACACTGCCTGTCGCAGAAACAGGTACTCGGTCATCAGTTTAGAGAAACCGATTTTCTTTTCCGAAAAAAATTTGGAATTTAAAAATTTTACAGATGGAATAAAAACCACAAAATCCCAGATTTACAGTAGAATGTTAAAAATGCACAAACAGGAAAAGGAAAGAATGAAAATAAATCCAAGTCCCTTAACTTGATTTCCAACTCTGAAATTCTCCCCCCGAAACCCCTGGTTTTCGCTCCACTGGGACCTAACTGGCCACTTTTCCCTGGAAGCTCCCATCCACCGTTTCTAGACTCCTAAGCAGGTTGTGGGCGGGAGAAGCCGAGAGGGGCCAGGCTCACCTTGGAAGGACTGTTGCTGAAGTAGTAGAAAATCTTTTCTCGAGGAGAAAGCACGATTTCGTGTTTATGCGGGGAAATGTAGACGGGATGGTTCTGAGACAGCTGCACGCGGCGCGGGGAGCCTGCTCTTACAAATGGGTAGGGAGACAGCGGAGGGGCCTCCGTCTGTGGGGAAAAAAAGCATTTCTCAGCTAAGCACAGTTTCTCACCAGGTCGTTTTGAAAGTGGTTATTTTTGTTGTAAGAGTGAAAAGATAATAAACCATTAGGTTTATGAATGACACCAACTAATAAACCTAAAGCAAAGCATACAAACAGCAACCATGTAAGGGCTTGCTTGTGCCAGTCCCTGTTTTAAGCACTTTGAGTGCATTATGTCATTCAATCCCACACCGACCTTGCCAGCTGGGGACACTCATGCCCATTTCTTAGAGGAGGAAACGAGAGGCCTGGGGAAAGCTAACTAGCACGGCTGCCACAGCTGCCGAGTTCTGGAGGCCGGGAGCCCATGCATTCTCAGTATTGCTGCCCCCCATAGGGAATCCAAGCACCTTCTCCTCTTGTTAACGCGACACAACACTATAAACTGTGAGTCACACTTTTCTGTTAGACTCTCTCCCCTTTACTTAACAAGAGGATCATTAATGAAACCGGCTTACATGTGGAACTGCTCACACAGAAGTGATTCCTCACCCCTCCAAAGTGAAAAAGTATGAAATAATCCCCGTCAAACCTACCATGTTGGCCTGTGAGTACTTCAGGGCAAACGTTTTAATTTGTTTGACGTAGACATTGTTGTAGAACTGGATGAGGTCTCCCCTCTCCTCCTCCTCCAGGTCACTGTTGGCGCCTGTGAGGCGGGTGGGTGTAGGAGGGGCGCTGCTGGGCTGTGGGACAGGCAAGGTGCTGCTGGACCTCATGACAGGACTGGAGTCTCTACTGGCTGTGGCAGGTAGAGCAAGGGGTTAAACAGAGAGACTGCCTTTATCCCACTGCATTTGCTTTTAAAAACAAACAGCTACCCGCTCTACTTGTATAATGGCAGCAAATGGGCATTAATGCTTTTACCAGGGAGCAAAGCGCAGGCAGGTAAGACATAAGTACTAACATTCCCCCCAGGCCAAAAATGTAGGGCACAAGGAGACGGTATCACTGGTAAGTTTCACCAAGTCTCCAGAACCTGCCCCTGCAGTAAGGGGTGCAAACAATTAGGGAGGGCATTTCCACAGCACGGTTTCGGCTGGCATGCCAGACTTCCCTGAAACGCAGGCCAGCAAATTCCTGCCCGAGTCCCCTGGAGAAAAATGTTTTGCATGATGTGCCTCAAAACTATGGGATAAAGGACAAACAACTTTGCCACTAAATTCAGAATCATTTCTTCTTCCAACAAATCCTTTCCCAATAATATAGTTTATTCTTAGTTTCCTTAGAAGTAATTTCTTTTAGGAATTGTTTAATCTTCTAGGCCCAAATTTTATTTTGTACGCGTTCACAAAGATCCCACTTACTTCTGTCTTTGTTTAGTTCTGTTGGAGAATTCTGATGGCTTCTGCTTTCACTGCTGCCAGAATTTCTTCTTTTCCTTCTCCCTTTTATCAAAACACTTCTATACACCTTTAGGGAGACCATGAGAAGGGGACAGAAATGACAATTTATGGAATACAGCCTAGATCACATGGCCTTGACATGTGATTTAATTCTCACAACAATCCTGTGAAATAATAGTTCTCCTCCTCAGGGGAAGTTAATCAATGCAGCCAAGGTCATATGTCTGTTATGTAACAGATCCAGGGGGACACCAGGGCCTGCTGCTTGAAATTCCAAGTACAGCCTACAATGCGACAGAGCAGGATAGGCCCCAACCATAAAGCCAAGGCATTCTAAGCCAGGGGTGGGCAAACTTTTTGACTCGAGGGCCACAATGGGTTCTTAAACTGGACCGGAGGGCCGGAACAAAAGCATGGATGGAGTGTTGGTGTGAACTAATATAAATTCAAAGTAAACATCATTACATAAAAGGGTACGGTCTTTTTTTTTTTAGTTTTATTTATTTCAAACGGGCCAGATCCGGCCCGCGGGCCGTAGTTTGCCCACGGCTGTTCTAAGCCAACCACAGATGTCACGCATGCCTGCCCCTTTAAGGCAGATGAATAATATTACAGGTAAAATGAGTCTTAAATCTTCATTAGATGTTGTCTTGGTTAAATGTACCATATTTCCTAAATCAGACTGATAGGTGGCACAGAAACCAAACAACCTTCTAGTTTACATCTTTCCTGTGATTAGCTAAATTAAGGCGTCTGTTATTTCATGTCATTGCCTTTAGGAGAGAAGAAAACTTAAACCAGTGGTTCTCAACCTTCTGGCCCTTTAAATACAGTTCTTCATGTTGTAACCCAACCATAAAATTATTTTCGTTGCTACTTCATAACTGTAACGTTGCTACTGTTATGAATCGTAATGTAAATATCTGAAATGCAGGATGGTCTTAGGCGACCCCTGTGAAAGGGTCGTTCGACCCCCAAAGGGGTCGCGACCCACAGGTTGAGAACTGCTGATGAAACTAAAGACTTCCTTTAAAGTAAAGGCTGGGGAAGAGGCTACAGAAACAACTCGGGTTGACTTTTTGTGTTTCTCAAAGACGTGAAGCTTTACTTTCAACCCCAAGAGGAGTAAGTCACCTGGCTCCGGGCCTGTGGCTGAGTCCTGTAACAACGCATAATGTTCTGGAAGGACTTGTCCTCTTTTGTGACCTGGAAAAGAATGAGAGTATTTTGTGAGAGCGATGGACTTCCAGCAACATACTGTGAGCACTATACACTTGCTCCACAGTGAAACTGGTGAAAATTCTATTAAAATTAGTCACTTAAAATCTGCAAATGGTCCTAAGGCACACAAGTGAAGAAATATCTATGAAAGAAAACTTAAAATTCAGCAACATTAGAGGTGGTAAATGGTACCTAATCCAAGACCTGGCATAACATTTCACGAGAGCGAGAAAACGGCATTTCACTTACTACAGAATCCCAGTAAAATAATAGACAACTTCTACTCAGAAACTATGCAGGCAAAGAGGCAGTCAAACAACGTATTAAAATTGCTCAAAGTAAAAAAATCTAAAGATTCCAGTATCCAACAGTGATCTTTCAAAAATTAAAAGAAATGAATATATAATCACAGATGTCTGGGCCAATGTGTACAGTGGTTAGAGCACCAGCCCATGTACCAAATGTCGTGGGTTCGATACCCAGCCCCAGTCTGGGTGAGTATGGGAGACAACCAATTGATGTGTCTGTGTCTCTATCCCTTCCTCTCTCAAAAAAAATCAATGGAAAAAATCCTCAGGTGAGGATAAAGAATTTTTTTTTTCCTGAGAGTAGGGAATTATCTTTTTCCTTTTATAGTCCGAAGTACTCACCTTTGCCATCACATAAATGGCACACATTAACAACTGGTCCAGGTGTCTGTCCATCATAAGTTCAGGACACTGAACTATGGAGAATTCAAAGCAGGTCCAGATTTTTTTCCTTAGCTCATCTGAAATATCCAGCTTAGCACAAAGATCCCGAAGGCGGACACCTGCTAAGTGGTAAACCTGGTAGATAAAAAAACCATCTCAGAACCTGTTTATCTAACACATTCCCCAAACTCATGACCAGTGAGAAGACATGAAAAGTTACCTTTCTAAAGAACAGCGATAAAGAGCTGGTCTTCCTGGGCCTGCCGCTGCCGCTGGGTAAGGGGGGGCCTTGCTTCTGCTGTGCCCCTGGGGAGAGCTGCTGAATGGCCACCTGCCCCGGCACTTGCAAGCTGGTTCCTGTCACCTGTTGAGAGCTCAAGTTCCCAGCCAGGGCCTGGGCACTGAGGGGCTGCATGGAGCCCGTCACGGCTGATGCCTGCCCCCCAACATTGACTTGGACCGGGAAGAAAGTTATCCCTCCATTTTCATTGGCAATACCTGTCGTTTGTTACAAAGAAAAAAGCACAAAGGAAATGCTGATAATACAAGGTTCCCCAGGCAGCGTTTCCAATTCCTCCCCCTCCTAACCCTCTCCCCTCTAAATGCTTGTTGCGTCATCATTCCAGCCGAATCTCAGGTAACTTTCCAATGAATGCCACAGAGAAAGAACTCGATATCCAACTCAGCCTGCCTTACCTTGTACAGGAATGGTCACAGTTTGTCCATTGTTGGCTGTGACTGTGGCTGTTGCCATGGTGACCAAAGTCTGTCCAGGAACTGGTGTGACAGGAACCGCCTCCCCAGGCACATTCTGCACGGGGACAGCACTGACCAGGGGCTGTGGGGGCCCGCGCCCGGGTGCTCCTCTGTCAGAGGGGCTGTCGTTCTCGACGAAGAGCCGTCTTCGGGTGGAGCTGGCGGTTGGGGAGCTGTACCTCTCATATAATGTGGTTGGAGAGGTGATGCCTAGAGCCAAAAAAATCAAACCACTTCACTCAGGGAGAAGGAGAGGACTCATCCAAGCTGTTATTAGTGCACAAAGACTAATTTAAAAGCCAACAAAAATTACAGGAGTCACATCATAGTAATAATTCCACTGAACACTATTATGAGCAAAATTTTTCTCTATTTGTCTCTCAGGACTCCCTTCTTCACTTCACCTTCTGCTAAATCAAATGAGGCTTTGCCCTCCACTACTTCAGGGCCATGATGAGCGAGGGGCAATTAAAGAATTGTTCTATTTTTCCACGATATTTTTAACCATATTCAATTTCTACCTGATGCTTATGTAAAATGTGATTTTGACATAAACCCACTACTTGATAAGGGGACCTGATGGATTTGATATCCCCATCTGGGAGCATTTTCCCCCCGTTTTATGAATCTTCATCTTTCTCCAAATACAGAAAATTACTAAAACTCAGTAATGTCCTTCTGAAAGAATGGACATGCACGTTTTTTATTCAATTAAGCTTAGTTTAATTTTTTAAAACAACTTTATTGAGAAATACAGTGTGTCCCAAAAAAATGTCTACACATGTAGAATAATTATAAAGGCGGTGTTTATTAAAATACTGTTCATTTTCAAAATGTAATAGAATCAGCTATCACACTTTTTTGGGGACACCCTGTATATGCCCTATGAACTTCACTTAAAGGTTTAGACGGAAGTCAAATCCCCAGATATTAGACCCCACTATGTGCCTTAGTATTTAAACTTACTTCTTCCAAGCCCTCCAGTCTCGGCACGAACTTCACTCACTCTTCTGGGAGTCAAAGGGGTGCCAGCCATACACATGTCATCTGCTCTTTCCAGGTTCTGCGGCGGCATGACCTACAGAGAATGTTCACACAGAATGCCATTATCCAAAAAGCTTTATTAAAAATACAATCATCACCTAAGGTAAAATTAAACTGTCTTGGCTCATCGCTTATTCCATCTATCAGCTGTCTTTTCCACTGGCAGGCTTAAACATTTCAAAACCTGGTAACTAGATATTAAATATGAATTAGCAGTCCTTACTGATGTGGAGAATTAGATATCAAGCATCTAAGGTAGAGAAACTTGACTAAGAGATCACGGCAGAACACTGAATTCTTCCCCTGTCACTGAAAACCTGGGGCAAGCGCACAGTCATTCTGCTTCTTGTCTCCTATTTGATGCAGGTGCTGTACCCGCTCACTCAGCACAAGGAAGACTGAAGTGTAACTGTGCCCTGGGAAGAAGGCGGTGAGCAGACCAGATACTGCTGTACTTTCCTTATGGAAAGACGTTACGGTCTCTCACAAACCTCTTCACAGGTGGGGACTCGGTTGTCGTTCTCTCTAATCCTGTCCCAGAGCGGAGACTCTGGCTTCCAGGCCAGATGATCCAAGATCTGTTCTTCAATCTGATTGAGGTGTTTCACCACCTCTCTGCAAAGGCCATCTTCTGCCCGGATGAATACTTCTATCACCTGAAGTGAAGAAAAGGCCCTGGTTTAATAATTAAAAAAAATAATATAATAAAAAAATATATATGTATAAAAAAAGGGTAACTTTTTTTTACATATTTATAGATATAACAGACAATTTATAAAAAATTGTAAGTTTAAAGAATAGTACTATTTTGAAACAGCGGCTCTTCCCTTCTGCCTTTATAAATAATTAATATTTAAATTGCATTTATGAGTTATGTAAAATCTTTTCATAGTGCTGTATTTCAACATTTAAATGAAAGAATGTCTTATCTATTGAGAGTGAAACATTACTCTTTAAATTTTGTATTTAAAAACTCTAAACATTCAATCTCTGCCACTATAAAAACATTTTGACTGCTGTAGCTGAATTAAATAAATTCATACACTCAGTTAATATCAAGAAGGAAACAACTGGTCAATGCCCTTCCTCTGTGCCTCTATAATCACGTCAAAGAGGATTTTGGTTTCTGAAAGACACATTCAATATTATTTAAATTCCATAAAAAAGATTGCTCTGTAAGATAAGCGAGTGATAGGTTTGCTATTTTTTTTAAAACCTTAAGCTCATAAAATGAAAGTATCTTAAAAGCCTTTATGAAATGTAAGGAATAAAATGAAACTTGCTAAGCATAGGTCTTTATTGTACAGTAAAAGAATTTATATAGTTCTTAGGACTCTATTTCTTCTCTGCTCCCCAAATACAGTAGAAATTATTAATAAATGTAATTAAAAATAAATGTACTTAGATATTAAAATGAACTAGATGGCTAACAATAGGAAGTTGGTCTCATCTATAATTTTCTCATTATTATCAGATCTTTAAAAATACCTTATAAAAGTGATAAAGTGGCACATCAAATATCTCGGTAATGAATGGAAAATTCCCAGGAGGCTTATAAGAAAAAGTGACAACCTCGAGGCAGCAGGCCAAGAGTGATCTGTGGAATGCATCTTGTTCCAGAATGCCCTGTAAAACAGTTATTAACATGCAGAAACATTAGTCTACTCTAACAAGACATTTTATACCCAGTCAAGTTAAATAAAAATACCAAAAAGTCTTATTCTCTGAATTAGTGAGTAGTATGTGCTTCTTTTCTTACAAAACTTTTAACTTTATAAATAAGTCCATTTTTTAGCAACTTTCAAAAATCTTATGTATCATGAAATATAGCTAATACAAAAAATTACATCCCTAATTAAAATATACATACACTCTGATGCTTAGAAGACTAATGATCTGGAAAGATGTTACACACTAGCATTACAGTCAGAGGCCACTGTCATGAAAAAATGGCTGGAAGGAGGACAGGTGACTTGGCTAGATGGTCAACATGCTTATTCAGGGTGATATAATCACAGATGATTTTCACATGTACTTTTTCTTTGCTTATTTATTTCCTAAAATTATATATTTTTTAAAACTAAAAAGTTATATAGACACAAAAAGCATAGCCAACAAGAGCAAAAAATAGGTAAATTAGACTTCATTAAAATTAAAACCTTTGTGTATCAAAAAACACCAAGGATGTTGAAAAGACAACCCAAAGAATGGGGGCAAATATTTGTAAATCAGATATCTGATATAATTTATACTCAGAGTATATACCAAAAAGAATTGAAAGCAGAGACTCAAATAAATGCTTGTACACCAATGTTTATAACAGCATTATTCATAATAGCCAAAAGGTGGAAACAACTCAATGTCCATCAACAGGTTAATAGTAAACAAAATGTAATATACAAATATATGTGGTGTATATGCATACAATATTAGTCATCATTAAAAAGGAATAAGATTCTGACACATGCTACAACATGGATAAACCTTGAAAACATAATGATGAGTAACATAGGCCAGACACAAAAGAACAAATATTGTATGACTATCTAAGGCACCTAAAATAGGTAAATGCACAGAGAAAGAAGAACAGAAGTTACCAGGGGCTAAAAGGAGGAGTGGGAAGTCATTATTTATAGGTATAAACTATCAGTTTGGGATGATAAAAAATTGTGAAGATGGCTAGTGTTGGGGGGGATGCACAACATTGTGAATAGTTAATGCCAGTGAACTGCACACTGAAAAATGCTAAGATAGCATATTTTATGTATTTTTTACTACAATAAAAAATTTTTGAAAAATACGTTCCTTAGGTGAGTATACAGGTATCTACTATCAACCGCTAAACTACTGTAATTCTTCTGTATGTGTTTCAAAGTTTAAAAATTTGTCATAAAACAGTCTTTTAAATTCCTACCACCATATTTTTTTAAATATATTTTATTGATTTTTTTTTATAGAGAGGAAGGGAGAGGGAATAGAGAGTCAGAAACATGGATGAGCCAAAACCGGTTTGGCTCAGTGGACAGAGCGTCGGCCTGCGGACTGAAAGGTCCCAGGTTCGATTCCGGTCAAGGGCATGTACCTGGGTTGCGGGCATATCCCCAGTAGGAGATGTGCAGGAGGCAGCTGATCGATGTTTCTCTCTAATCGATGTTTCTAACTCTCTATCTCTCTCCCTTCCTCTCTGTAAAAAATCAATAAAATATATTTAAAAAAAAAAAAAAAAAAAAAAAAAAAGAAACATGGATGAGAGAGAAACATCGATCAGCTGCCTCCTGCACACCCCCTACTGGGGATGTGCCTGCAACCAAGGTACATGCCCTTGACTGGAATCGAACCTGGGACCCTTCAGTCCGCAGGCCGACGCTCATCCACTGAGCCAAACTGGCCAGGGCCCACCATATTTTTATATATAAAAAAGGAACTAGGTACAAAGAATTAGAACAATTATAGGTCAATTTTGTAATTTTCTTTAAAATGTTATTTAAAAAATTAGTTAAAACTTTTTTTGATACAATTGAAAGTAAATATCACTTGTTTAAAATCAATTTACATTTTTTTTATTAGTAAAATCTAGGAAAAAGAATTACTTCAGCTAACCCTACCTGTGTGGCCCATGAACCAAGACAGGGGTGGGCAAACTTTTTGACTCGAGGGCCACAATGGGTTCTTAAACGGGACCGGAGGGCCGGAACAAAAGCATGGATGGAGTGTTTGTGTGAACTCATATAAATTCAAAGTAAACATCATTACATAAAAGGGTACGGTCTTTTTTTTCAATAGTTTTATTCATTTCAAACAGGCCGGATCCGGCCCGCGGGCCGTAGTTTGCCCACGGCTGAACCAAGAGGTCCCTGATTCTATTCCCTGTCAGGCACAAGCCCAGGTTGCAGGCTTGATCCCCAGGAGGGGGCGTGCAGGAGGCAACTGATTGATGTGATTTTTCTCTCTCATTGACATTTCTCTCTATCCCTCTCCCTTCCTCTCTAAAATCAATAAAAAAGAATTACCTTAGCCAAGAGAAATGGCTGAATATTTATTAAAAGTCCTACTGAGTCAATACTCAATTTATTCTTGCTATACAAAGAAGGCTTCATAAAAAACCCCATGTTGCCGAGACCGGTTTGGCTCAGTGGATAGAGCGTCGGCCTGCGGACTGAAAGGTCCCGGGTTCGATTCCGGTCGGGGGCATGTGCCTGGGTTGCGGGCATATCCCCAGTGGGGGATGTGCAGGAGGCAGCTGGTCGATGTTTCTCTCATCGATGTTTCTAACTCTCTATCTCTCTCCCTTCCTCTCTGTAAAAAATCAATATATTTAAAAAAACAAACAAACAAAAAAACCCATGTTATTTAAAAACTCAGTTAAGATTAAGTCTGAGTGTTTTAACCTTTAACTACTTTTACTACCCACAGAAGTTGAAAGTTGTAATACATGGCCTGCTGCAGCAAGGCACTGAATGGGGGCTGCAGGTGAAAGAATTCAGAACCAGCCATAGCTGGTGTGGCTCAGTGGATACAGTGTTGGCCTGTGGACTGAAGGGTTCCAGGTTCCATTCTGGTAAAGGGCACAGGCCCAGGTTGCAGTCTCGATCCCTAGTAGGGGGCGTGCAGAAGGCAGACAATCAATGATTCTCTCTCATCATTGATGTTTCTATCTCTCTCTCCCTCCCCCTTCCTCTCTGAAATCAATAATATATTTTAAAAAAAGAAAAGAACTCAGAACCATTATTCATAATAGCCAGTTTCCTTAGGTGCCAATGTTATTCCTTCAAAGCCACATATCATTTCTCTTGTTCAATAACGGTGTGTTTTCTTCTTTTGGTGGCTAGGGCTGACAGGAAAGCACATTTTACTGTTCTGATTCAATACATTGGATATTTACTCACAGATAAATCCATGTCTCCCAGTCTCTTTTGTTCCTGCTCAATAATGGTTTCTAATACTTTATAGTAAAGCATCTCTGCAAAACGAAAGTGTCTGCTGGCAATTTCTGCATAAATAAAAAAAACACAACAATCACATGGAAAGAAACGTGAAAAATGAGGGCCATCCCATCCCCTGCCCACAATATAAAATTAAAAAACCCATACACTTCCTACAGTTGCTATTTCAATCATCCCTAAGATTCCTTAATTTTTTTCATGGTAACACTTAAATTTTTCTAAAATCGTGAAATGAAATTTTCACATAAATAACTGGAATTTAATGAGTATGGTATTTAATGAGTCCAGCTCTGATGGCATTCCATGAAGATTCATATCATTTTTATTCTGCTGGGAGGTTTGAGCAGAGCAGCTCTATGCGGGGAGGCATATAGTTGGTTACTATTCCACTCATACTTGGTTTTAATTGAAGACCTCAAAAACACCTAGCACAGATCTGGGCTTGAAAACAGCTATGTCTTCTGTTCTTATTTTTAAAATTCTGAAGAATCACAATATTTCTATATTTAATATCCAGTCTACAAATGAAAACGAAAATTTTCCAAATGAAAAAGTACCAGAAGGTCAACATAATAAAGATATCAGAATAGCCCTAGCTGGTTTGGCTCAGTGGATTGCCTCATTGGCCTGCGGACAAAAGGGTCTTGGGTTCGATTCCAGTTAAGGGCACGTGCCCAGGTTGCGGGCTCAATCTCCAGTGTGGGATGTGCAGGAGGCAGCCATGGTTCTCTCTCACATTCATGTTTCTCTCTCTCTCCCCCCTCCCTTCTACTCTCTAAAAAGCAACGGGAAAAATATCCTTGGGTGAGGATTAACAAAAAATAAGTAAATAAAATAAAATTTCTTACTGAGAAGGGCCCAGAAATCACCGGGCTGACATAAAATTGGCCTTCAATCTAAATGCATAAATCTTCATGTTTCTGACTCAGTTACCAAGGAAGGACTCCATGTAGTTAAACATCAAGATGAGAACAATAAAGACAGTATTAAGCTTCACCTTTAGCACAATTACTGAATTCCTCATCTGGCTGGGAATGCTGAGAATATGTCTCATACATTTCTTTCAATCTGTTGGCAATAGCCTGGGTTGGATCTCTACAACATGTCCTAAAAATAAAAAGAAATTATCTAATTTAAAGGTCTTGCCGAGTTACAAAGTGATAAACTGTTTATGACTCTGTATTTGTACTAACCTGTAAATATAAAATACTTTGAACACAAACTATACACTCACCCATACTTCTTTGATAAAAGTGTTGGTATTACCATTTTCAGTGAAAAAAAAAAAGTATTGTGTATAGTTGTATCTTCTCTGCAGTAAGTTTAGCAACCTTAACCTCTGTGCCTGTTTGATGTCCGTGACAGGACCCCACGTCTGCAATCGCTGCTGACCAACTAACTGCCCTCAACTGTTCCTCTAGAGGGCGCACAACGCCCAGGAAACTCCTGCAGAAAACAGCTGACGGGTATGGAATCTCTACCACAGACTCAGATACACCCTTACTGGTATTCTACATCATTCCCTGAAAACCAAATTATCTCATTTTTTACTTATTTATTTTACTAGAAAGACAATGTATGTCCAATGCAGAAGCATACAGAGTATCACCATGTGTGCTTTTGTAACAACTAAGTTTTTATCTTGATCATAAATATACATATTCATTGTAAAAATGTAACAAGTTTAGAAAATTATAACCGATTTTTGTTTCTTTATAATCTTGCTAGAGGTAGCTACTGGATATGCTATACAAACAGAATTCTATTTATGAACACACACAGGTACCTTTTACAACAACAAAGCCCTTCGGCTTTACCTAGTACCTGCTGGTATTTCAATACCGTGGATGGTATTTACGATTAAAGAAGCTGCTATTTCTTGTCAGAGATCATACAAAGATTTGGAAGACAGAGATTCAATCAGGCTTCTAAAATGTGTTTATGAAATACTTCTGAATTCCAGGCAAACAAGGTCCATTTTAAAAACATGACTTAGGAAGAGGCCATACAGACAGAGCCTGTTGGGTGTTAATTACAATCAAGTTTATGAAAAAAGGAGACTTCATGAAAATGTGAAGGGAACTCAGTCAGCTTAGGTATGTAATGAGTCCAGCTACGAGTGGGGAGTTACTAATATGTGTATACAGGGCCTTCTTCTATCAGATCGCCTGAAATAAAATGGGTCCTAGAGGGCCTATGTCATCAAGTCATAAACGTTCAGGACTAACGTCCTTTTCAGGCGAAGGGTGCTTGCAGAGTTACAGAAGTTACAGTGCTTTTACACCGGCTGTGCACGTACCTGTCTACCTTTCCTAGCAGGGACCCACCCTTCGGAAATGTGCCCAGGACCCATCCTCTCCATGAAGTCCTTTGACAACTACCATCTTCACTGATCCCCTTCCCTGACATCTTAAGATAGAACAGCTGGCGGCGTAGTCTGGTGCCTTATTCTACAGGGTCTAGTGCTGGTCTTTCTGTTGGTTATAAGCCACCCAGTCTGTGTGCTCTGTGAGGGCAGCGTGAACAGACTAAGACCCTGAGGAAAAATGATCTTCTAACCGTACATCTTCTATTGCTTTGTCTTCTGCAGACAACAGCTATAAAATCAGTAATGAGTAAATTAAGGCACAAGTAGTCAAAAATTAAAGTAAAAAATTAGAAAAAGTCAACAGCCAAATGTAGAAGGCAGGAAGGGCTCACACTGACCTGAGGATCTGTCCCAGTCTCTCACTGGGTGCGTTTCGGAGGCCCGCCAGCATGGTGTGGAGACGGCTCAGGCTGTGTGTGGCTGCAGAAACCGGAGTCACACAAGGGCTGCTATTATCCTTAATGTACCTCACCGCAGTGAGCGGCGTGGAGATTCTAAGTGCTTTAGACTAAGGGGAAGAAAGAACACAATTTTAGCTCAGAAAGACTCAATTACTTCACAAACGGGAACTGAAGGCAATCAGACTTTGTATTATTAACAAACTCTAGTGATTCGCATATCCCCATTCTTGGAATTTAGACATGGCACCTCTACAGCCACCATGATCCAGTGAAGACGTGTGAAAGAACAGTCTGCATTTCAGCTAACTAAAATTTCGCCTCTTAGAAGTTAAATCTTTAAGACAATGCATATTTCCCGATGACCCCTCCTTCAAAACGTAAGCTTGAAGGCAAAAACAAGCATTAGGAAATGTAGAATGTCTTTGAGAAACAGCTAGCACCTACTGCTATTTTTGTAAATACTCAAAGATTGACAAAAGGAAACTGTGAAATCAATCTGGCCCAGTGAAATCCAGATTTCACAGAAGTCCCCTAACGATCACGTCTGCTTCTGAGAGAGGGAACCACCGCTGCGAGGTGCGGGCAGCGCCTGGCGGGGAGCCCTCCTGCCCGCCTTCACCTGGGTCCCTGTGCTCCAGCACAGCTGCCCCAGAGGACACAGAGCTTCACACAGAGCAAGTCAACGTTCTTGAACATACATATGAAAAAGGCATGACCTCATGTCAAAGAATTTAAGCATGACTGCATATGCTAATAAAACACCTCTTCTAATTTTTCCAACAAACGCTTAAAGATAAAGTATATTTCCCCCTCTCATCCATGTTTTTATCGCTCTGTCCCTCTCGCTTCCTCTCTTTCTAAAAATCAATAAAAAAACATTTTTCAAAATGGAGAAAACTCTTAGTTAAGGTGAGCGTGAGGGGAGTGTTCTTTTTCACAATGGACGCAAGCAGAGCGCACACACGATTATCACAACAGGCCAGGACCTGAGCGTGTGCCGGCCCCTCTCCTCGGCTCCACTCACCTTGTCCAAGTGCTGCTGCAAGATGCTCTTCATCGGCACCCTCTCGGCAGGCTCCGCGCCCGGCCCGGCACCCAGAGACCTGGAGAGCGCCCCCATTTCCTCCTCCGCGTCCTCTCCAAGAAACACCCGCTCATCGAAGTTCCCAACGGTCAGGACATACTCCTCATAGGCCTTATTGATGGCTTTCCTGGGGGGGGGGGATGCACACTCTCAGACTGCCACTTCAGTCCGTGCTTCAGTCCGCTCAGTGCCTTTCTATGTGTATTTACTACAAGCTCTCACTGTAAGAGCCGAGCAGTATCCACACTGTGCTCATCCTCGCACACAGCACATCTGCTGAGAGTGTCAGGGCGGGCGCACCACACCCCCTGCCTGGTCAGTGCGGCTTCCGGTGAGCAGCTGAACGACCTCTCCCGCTGCTCCCGCACCCTTCTAGACCTCAGCATCCCCACGTGTCACCTGTACCGTTCCAAAGGAATTTATTTCAAAAATTATGACCCAAAAGTTTAACTATGACAGCTTTCAGGAACAGCAGTACAATTTTTAACAAATTCAAAAACGTTCTTGGGAGTACCAGCTGACCACTAAGCTCTGAGGTTGTCTAAGCACACAGCTTTAGATATTATTCAGATAGTTTTATAACAGAAGTACTCACAAATTCTCTCCAAAGTTCCCAGGCTCTAGAAACCCTGTAAGGTTTTCTTCTTTTCCCTTAAGGAGCTACGAAGAAAGAAAAGGTCCTGAAGTCATCCTATTAAGTCAACTCTTTCCCAGAAAATACTTCCACGGCTGCTCACCAACCTTCTTTTCGTAGAGTCTCCTTATGTAGGGTTTCCAGAAGTGCTCCTTTATGCCCTTTGCTTCCAGCACGAGGCCGTCATGTAAGGAGCAGAGCTTCTCGATGACACAGGGTGGGTCGGAGGAAGGCTTGAAGTCCTTAGCATGGCCATCTTCCGACAGGCCTGTGACGGACAGAACAGAGGTGCCAGGTGGCGCTTAACACACCAAACTGTAGTCAATTAAGACACACAGCTGCAGAGTCTAATCAGCAAGTAAGTTACCATATGCGGATAAAGGAAATGGTGTATAAGACCTAATTTAACTCTAAATACACCCCAAGAATAGTAAGTAGAGGTAAAGTGTACCAATCCTCAAAAGATTTCGTTATTCAATCACGTATCTAGAGATGGTTAAAAAAAACCTAAAAAAATAATTTTAGTATTATGCTATAACTAAAAAACACAAATACATAACTTTACAAATAAGCTTCATATTCAAATAAAAATACCACTTAAAAATTACTGTCCAAAGTATGTACTTTAACTGAATTATATGTTTGTTTATCATAACTAATTTATAGCTAATCTTGGCCTAGTCTTAGTGGGAAAAAAATAAAAGGGGGAAAATGAAGGGAAACAGCTCTATAGAATTATAATGGAGTTAGGAAGGAAATGGGAGAAAAGACAGAATACAAAGAACATGAAATTTACCAATCCAGAAGCCACTGCAGTAACTAACGCCACTCGCTTTAAATATCTACCCTGAGAGTCAGACAAGCTGGAATTTTCATTGTAACCACCCCCAAATGGACAGTCCCTCAATCCTACCATGGTATTCTTCAAATAGCAGCATCATATACACTACCAGCTCAACAAATACTTTCTAGTACTTGCTTTGTATATCATGATTTGGTCTGTTACTGTCTATCATTCATAGAAATTACATACCTTAAAGCCTGCTAAATGCATAGCCGAAATAATTAGCATTTCCACACAGCGGTATGTGTGTGTGTGTGTGTGTGTGTGTGTGATTTTAGTAGCTAAATACGGCGCCATGTGCTCCAAGGGGATATGAATGACAGTCTGCAAAACAGCCTGCCTGGCTGAGGGAAAACACTGCTCCTGCTCACGTCACCCCGAGGTGAACCACAGATACTTTTAAATCATCTTGGCCCTAGAAAGGCCTGAGGTCCGCCCTGCGCCCCATGTGGAAGGCTGGGTGACCCCACAGCGCCACGCAGTGTGCCCCAGGCCTTGTCCAGGTGGCTCTGATGGCGCCCAGGAAGTTGGAGGTGTTCAGGAAGTGCTCGTTCAGCTTCAGGCTGCTGAGACCAGGGATGCAGCCACCAGGCCCCTGGGCAGGGCTCTGCTCCCGTCTCCACCCACCCTCTCCAGGGTCTGGGAAAACCTGATGAGCTCTCTTCCCGTCCAGCTTCCCCTGGTGCTCCAGGCTAGGCGTCAGGCAAAGACGCTGGCGATGGGGTTGGTGCTGGTAGGGTGGCCCTTCCGGTGCTGCTGAGGGGGTAGGGTGGCCCTTCCGGTGCTGCTGAGAGGGGTAGGGAACCATCCCATGAGCGGCCTCGATCGTCTTCCCGTCCAGGCAGAGCAGCACAGATGCCATCGGGCCAAGGGAGCCTTGGTCAGGATGTCCGACTGCCCATCTCCATCCTAGTTCACAGCCCACACAAAGCCACCTGAAGACCTGGGAACCTGAGCCACCTGTCATCAGAGCTGGTGCTCGTACCAGCTCATGGTCTCGCCTAACCCGGACTCTGTGCTTCTCAGAGGTCTCCTGGAGGCGTCCTTGGAGCGCCCGTCCTAGGCTTTCAGAACGGTGCTCTGGTGCCCATGTACAGTGACCACTTCCGGATGGCATACGGGAAGCCTGTGTGCAGAGCCCAAGGAGGACGTGTGGGTGCTGTGCATGCCCGTGCCCAGGCCAACGGGAGAAGCTGCACGGCTCCCACTCCTCGGCCCTGCTGCCTCCTTTGGGGTGAGGACCATCTTGAAGTGCCAGCCCGTTCGGCCACAAAGTCGGTGGCCTTCTATCGGTTGCATGGGCGGGCCTTCCAATGGCGATGGGCTTGGTCCAGCCAAGGACAAGGCAGGGATGCTTTTGCAGAGGATGGGAGACAGGCCGTGGAGGATGCTCCAGCTGGTCCCACTGGAACTCTTCTACAGGGGCCTCGTCAGGGGCGACGATGGCACACTGCCAGCCACACTGTAACTTCTGGGTGGCCAAGGCAGACCCGATGGGTCCTGGTCATCAGTCTGGTCAAGGTTTGGGCCAGGTCGAAATACGTACTTGAGCTGGACATCCACGTGGGGCAGGACGAGCTTCTCTTTGATGAACTGCCAGATACGATGGGTCATCTCATTGCTGTCCATCTCCAGCACCGGCTTAGCCATCTTGACCTTGTCGTCGGCAGAGTGGCGCCACGGCTGGTCCTGCAAGTTGGGGCCTGTCGCCCAGGCTAGCCCAGAGCCCAAGTCTCTGCCGAATCAGAATTCGACCTGCAGGGAACTAGCCATCCCCAGCGGGCGAGCGAACGAGCCAGGCAGGCGGGACCCGAGCGCTAGCCACTGCTTGGGCTGCCTGGCAGTGCGCTGCCCAGACCTGGTGGTTTCCATACAGCTTTTACTTTAAGAGCTAAAAATTATTTTTCCTTATTTTAGAACCATAACTACTCCTCTTTAGCAAAAACCTAAAATGAAGGTTCTTTCAGTGAGTCCGTTCTGACCTCCTACAGAGTCCTAGCACCAAGCCTGCCAACGTAGGAAAATGCCCGCTTTCGTCTTCCCCACTCCAGATTCCTAGTCCTGCTTCTCGTGGAGCGTGAACTTCAGAGCGCTCTAGTGTCACCTAAGCTTAAACTCTGTGATACTTGCAATTGCTTTTCCCATAAATGCTGCTGCAGGGACTCGACCTGGTTCCCAGTCCCCCGGAGAGCGGGGTGGCGGAGCTTTCAGAGCGCCGTGGGCTCTCCTGCGAGGAACCTGCACTGTGTATAACCTCCCCCGAGTGCACATGATGGAGAAATGTGGGCTGCCCAATAGTCTTTGATGGACAATCTTACCTTTAAAATTAGGGTTCACAAGTTCTTTACGATTGGAACATTGCAGGGCATTTCCATAAACTAAGTCCAAAGCACACAGCAGCAGATGGTAAGAGTTGACCAAGTCATCACTAATCATGGGGAAATTGCCTATACAATTATAAAGAGAGAGTTAAAAGTGCATCAACTTTACAGTCTGCTAAAAATAATTTCTTCCTCTAGTTAAAATGACGTTATACAACACTGTACAAAACAGAATCAAGTGGTACAGAAAGTGTTTTGGCAAATTTACATCTTGAAATATTACTTATAGTTTAATAAGTTTCTTAGAGTTTAATGAAAAGTAAAACTTTACTAAAAATGCCATTTGTTTACTCAGTATTCGTTAAACTAGCACTTATTTAATGCCTACTAGCTGACCAAAATTTTATAATCACCGGTCTGTCTTTTGAAAATTCAGAACACCAACAACTTTATAAATTATCTCAAACTGTAAGAAATTGTTTTATATGAAAATATTTTTCTGTCAAGAAAATCAACAGAATCACTTACATGTGAACAGCTAAAAAAATTACTCATGTAATTATTTTTTCATGTATGTACTTTAAACCACCATAAGCTATAATCAGACTCTTAACAGTAACATTTAAAAGACTTTTCTACCTATGAACACAAACTCATACAAATGAATGCAACAGGATCACAATGCAAGATATTTAAGATCTAGAGCTAATATCCCACAAAATTGTTGATGCCAGATAACGGGGGAAAAAACTGAAACCATGTCATTTCTGCAGTGCTGGATTAAGTCTGGCATCGAAAACAATTTTTACAGGCAGTAACCAGCTTCGTTATTCTTAGAAATTAAGGAGTAGTTCTACTTTTGTTAACTCGAGCATATCCCTTTTTGCATTAAACTCTGCTTTTTCATATATATGCTTCATGTTGGCTTTACATTCTTATAACATCAAATGAATTCAATTTAAATACCTGGCAGACATCCGAAATATTTCTAAACCTCAACAGTTTCCCACTTCACGCCTACCCAATGCGCACGTGCGTGTGCATGCATACACACACACACACACACAAACACACTCTCACACACACACTCACACATACACACTCACACACTGACACACACACTCACACACACAGACACACACACTCACACACTGACACACTCACACACACTCTCACACACTCTCTCACACACACACTCACACACACACACTCACACACACACTCACACACACACTCACACACACACTCACTCTGCTTTGTTTCAGGCTTTTTCTCTCCTTCCCACCCAGAAAACTTACCACTTACCGCCCCATATGACGATGAGGAATTCTATTTTGTACCGATGGAAACATTCAACAAATCAACTTAAATAAATTAATGAGGAAAAAAATATTTTTCTGTTGCTAGAAAGGCAAATGATGATTAATAGGTTACATATCACACTGCTATAACCACAGTAACTTGCTTGGTTCTGCTATGGATAAGTTTAACACTGAATGTACTCAGTTCCTCAGATGGAAACAGGAAGTGGTAGCATCTATGGTTTCAAGCGACAGAGCTATCACCCTGCGAGCCTGGACTTGTCGCTGGTGTGCACTTGCCGCAGGCGGAAAACCCCGCACTGCGACCTCTAAGAAGCCCTGACATGCCCTTGAAGATCAGAATCCAAGTTAAACTCCAGGCTGTCCCTAGGTGACATACTTCACATTTCACATCCCAACTTCAGAGTAAATCTCACTGAGATAGTTCATCTTCAATCAACAAAGCAACCTGCTGAACCCTCAGCTCTGGCTTATTTACAGGAAAGATGTGGGTTCGGATACAGAACAGGGCGCGGCACCTGCGGTCTTCAGACCGCACTGCCCTCGGGAGGACCAGCCCAGGCGTGTCGCTGGCGTGTGCTCGCCGCAGGAAGCCGACCAAGGCCAAGGCACAAAGTGAGCTTATTTATCAAGAAGGAGACCATCTGGGGTGCCCACACCACACAGTGGAGAGAAAGCCATGAGAAAGGTGGCTAGAGGAGAGTGCCTCTCCCCCCAGGTAAGGACCTCAAGAACTGGTATAAACTGCTCTCATAGGAAAGACCCTAGAGCAGGGGTCCTCAAACCACGGCCTGCGGGCCACATGCAAATACAAACATTGTATTTGTTCCTGTTTTGTTTTTTTACTTCAAAATAAGGTATGTGCAGTGTGCATAGGAATTTGTTCATAGTTTTTTTTTAAACTATAGTCCGGCCCTCCAACGGTCTGAGGGACAGTGAACTGGCCCCGTTTAAAAAGGTGAGGACCCCTGTCCTAGAGAATCAAAAAAGACCACAGTCCTGGGTTGTGAGGGAGCAAAGGCTGTTCAGACCAAGCACTTACTGACTAAGATGAAAGTTAACTGCAGAGAAAAACTAGGACACCCTAGTTGATCAAGTGAGACCAAAATCCACACAAGGGCGATACAATTCTTCATAAATAATTCAGATAGTACATTTACTCTCAATTACACATATGCCATGAAAGGCATAAACAAACCCAAAATCCTGGAAGGCAGACATACCTGCCCACGAGCAAGTGACAAAATTAGCATCACACGTATGATGCCACAGCCAGGGTCGTAGCCAGGACAGCCGTTTGCAGGCTCCAAGCCTTTCTGCACTTCCTGCTGTGATCACATCACCTTTGCCTCCTCTGAAGAAACATTCAGTGTGATGGAAAGCAACATATCAAACAGCTTGTTTTTGACAGAAGATTCTTCTTTTCAATGAAGCACGCAGCCCAGGGGAGGAAGGGAGAGCTTTCAACTAGCTAGCCAGGAGGGACCAGTATAATCCGACGGGTCAAACAGCAAGACAATGGGGTGCCGGTCCTTGCTGGAGGGCCTTCACTTCCAGCATGAAACCAAGAGCTGGGAGATCTGTGTTCAAATCCCAGCTTTGTTTCTGGGCCTCACTTACCTACTCTTGAAAGCAAGTACGTTGGGGTAGTTGATCTAATAATGAGAATCTCTTTTATTTATGAAACTCCTGCAGCTTTATGATTTTTATTTTAACTTTGCATTTTATTGGGCTATCTTCATGGCAAAGGCATTCTATATAGTCCAGAAAAAAAAATATGTGACTTATGTAACTGTACTTCCTTTTCTTCTTTAAATTAATAAGCATCATTTCTACAGAGAAATACAGACAGCACAAAAAAAAATCTTTTCTTACTGAATGCAGACCTTGGGTAGTTTAAGTGAGATGAGAAAAAAGGGGGAGAAAATAAATAGCATCTAAAGGTACGGATCAGGCCTATTTATCTGAACAAGACGCAGAAAACAATCTGAGCTGCTGAGGATGCTCAGTCCCACTCAACTGAGTAAGACTTGTCTCATGGAGAACACAGCTCCAGAGAAAAGCAGGGCCACACTAAGGCAGCGGCTCTCACCTCGGCTGCACATCAGAGTCACCTGGGAGTCTTTAAAATCCTGATGTCTGGGCCTCAGCCTCCGGAAATTCTGTTTCTTTGTTATGGGGCGGGGCCACAATGTTAGTAACAAAGAAACAGAATTTCCAGAGGATGAGGCCCAGACATCAGGATTTTAAAAAGATTCTCAGGTGATTCTAATGTGCAGCCAAGGTTGAGACCCACGGCACTAATGTGTTTTCAGTCCATAATTCAGAAGAATCGGTTTGGATAGAAAAGATACTGTATAAGAACAGAATTTAAAACTTTTCCATTTAATAAGAGAAGTTTTGGATCTTATAAAGAAATCCAAAAGACTTTTATGAAAAGACAATACTTAAAAAGAGAACCTGTGACTAAAACCATTGAGAAATTTTTCAGTGAGAATCTTTTCCTGATACACATTATAGGTTGACAAAAGTAGTACCCAAACATTTAAATAAACTAACACCTCGATAAATACTATTCTTTTCTTACCTTTCGCATATATAAAAAGCACCCAACAAAAGTGGAAAATTTCAGACACCGTACAGGGCTGTCGCCTGTGGGGAGAAAGAAGTCAGAAGGTAACAGACGAATTCGTGAGAGACACCACAAATGCCTGTAACTTAGGGGAGACACCAAACCCCCAGTCAGACACAGTGAGAGCAGACTCGCTCCACAGGGAAAAGGTGGAAGAAGCTCTACTCCAACCCATGTTGGTAAGGATGAGCTGGGAGCCAGGGAAAGAGCTCAGCTCAGAAAGAAGGTTCTAAACAGCCACAAAGGCTTTTGGAGGTCAAGAAGGTAGGGCAGAAAACAAATGAGTAGCGGCAGTTCTGTTAGAGACACCAGCAAGGCTACCGCTGCTTTAAGACCCGCGTACGCAGTCAGATATCCCCCCAATGTTTTCCCTCCATCATTGCTGCTGAAATGTAAACCCTGTTGCTAAAAACATTCCAGATTATTTATATCAAGTCCCACGGGACTTCTTAATGTAAATTCTGGGCTTCCTATCATTCCTTGCACTTCCATTATTAAGCATCTGTTGTATTTTGCCACGTTGTCTGCTCAGAGGTTCAGACCTGTTTTGAGCTTGGCTTTTCTGCTAAAACCCTGCTGAGGTGTAGATAAGACATCTGTTGCCTCCACATCCCAATAAACACATTGTAATACAGCGCTCCGATGAGAAGAGCCAGCGTCTGAGGCTTAACCCCGCACTGTCACTCCGGACAAGCACTCAATGCCAGGGTCCTGCCTTAAAAAGCAGCTCCCTGGCCACAGGCGGTGATAAACTATCTAGCTTGGATGGCTGCCAAGAGAAAAGCCAAACTTTTAGCTTAACACGCAAGCCAACTCTAAAAACTGGCTCTATAAGGTGAGGACCCAAGAGCCAATTGCTGAGAAGGCTTGATCCTCACTGCAGTGGTCCCCTTCTCCGCAAAGGGTTCCTCCAAAACCTCTGGGGGAGTCTTGAAACTGCCATAGTATAGAACCCTACATATTCTATGCTTTTTTCCTACATATCCACACATGCCTTTTCACTGGAAACCATTTTTACGGCTTCTCTTTGGCATATCTGAATTGCCTGCATCACTAACCTTGTTCTTTGGGGCCATTACTGATGTAAAATAGGGGTAAAGTGATACCACGTCAGTCACCTGATAACCAGAGACTGCAACGAGACAGGGTGGGGAGCGTGACAGCCTGGGTGAGCTAGCCACAGGGATGACTCACATCCCATGGGACAGAGGTGACTTCATCGTGCTACTCAAAATGGCACAGTTCAGAACTTAGGAATTCTTTATTTCTGGAATTTTCTAGAAACTTTAATATTTTCAGACCACAGTTGACCGTGGGTAACTGAAACCAAGGAAAGGGAAACTTCAGATAAGGAGGGGACTGTTTTATCTCCCAATTCACCTACCGAAATCCTTCCCACCATTGAAGACCTTACTTATCCACGGAACCTTAGCTGACTGGCCCATCCCCAGCGGTTTATCTGGGCCTCCGACGTCCTACATGTCTATTACCTTTTGCATCTCTGTACACCTCCTCTCCCCTGTACAGTAGGCCCTCAAAAGACAGTGACTGCGTTTGTTTTTTAATACTTGTGTCCTACGTTACGCGTCACACAGTAAATTCTCAGTAAGCACGCAGTGGCAAACTTCCAAAGGCTGGTGTGGGTGACACACACTGCAGAGTCAGGACAGGCAGACTATGTGAGTCGCAGTAACAGCCCCGCCCTTCCTCACCGTGTGACCTCGGCCAATTTACTTCACCCCTCCAGGGCTTATTCCCTCACCTCTACCAAGAGTACCAACCTCATAAACGCGCCATAGGCATTCATTACAATAATATACGTTTAAGGCTTAGAAGAGTCCCTATCTCATAATACTCACTAAATGGTATGCATTATTATTACTATTAGCCAAAAGTACTAATAAAACGTATACCGGGTAAATATATATGTAAAATTTTAAAATAAAGTGTCTTACAATTTTCTTAGGATTAGTTGGTATATATATATATATATATATATATATATATATATATATATATATATATATATACACCCTAATAAATATCAAAGAAAGTACATTTTCTACAACACTGCAAAGAAAGAAAATAATCTGTATTTTTCTATGAATGATCACATTAGTGTTGCTCAGACTCAGAACAGATCTCCATCCAAATTTTAGAATACTTAATTGTAAATAGTCAACTCTCTACAAAACTTCAAGGAAACTAGGTGAGCTGCTTCCATCTCAGTGGGGTCAACTATAAAAATGTACAGCTTGCTTTATTTTTAAAAGCTACTTACTTACTGCAAACATCCTTCACACTCTGGGGAAGTTTTATGTCAAAAGAGAAGCAAACGCCATTCATTCACTTACAACATTAACTCCGTTCCCCTACTTTTCTTGTCAGCATTTCTCTAGTTCTATTTTAGGAACAAATTTCCATTTCTACTTTATAAAAAAACGTTTGTGGTAAAAGCAGAGGATTTGCATCCCAGAATTGTGCTTATCTATCTGGAAACATGGAAAATACTGGGTCAAAGTTAAGTTGGTAGGCTTTCAGACATGATCAGAAAGCACAAGTTCATAACAATTTCTGCTCCCCACTGACCATTTCCACCCCACCCCCAATCCAACTTCTGGACTCTTGATTGGTTGTAAATATCAAAATACACAGAGAATCCACTTCATGGGGATTACTTAGTACTCAATTTGACATAAAAGTCAAATAACAGAAATTGTCAGTATATATGATAATAGAGAAAATGACAGAGATAGTCAATATTGTCAGTAATAGAAAATCAAGTGGTCAAATTCTATACCCAAGTTAAATATTTTGGTGAAAATATCTGTGTTCTGATTCTTGCATAGTTGGTTGCTTAACTGAAAAGTGAAGGTCTGTATGAACAGGGTTTCATACATTTTGCAATATGAAAGAAGCCAAAGTATTCATGGCTAACATGTAATGAAAAGCAAGAAAGTATTATCAAAAGAAAATTACAGGAGAAAAATATTGTTTATGAATCATTTGTTTTTCAAGACTAAGCAAAATAAACTATAGGACAAAATTCAAAGGTTCAAAACTGTGGCACAGACAGACACACGTATATCCCTATCCAGCAGAGAGACGCGTACCGTTGCTTTCTTCCTCTTTGTTGCCGAGGCTGCTCCTCCTGAGGATATTTGAAAATGTCCTGAAAAATGGGCTCGTATTTCTTAAAAATTACAGCAGACACGGTGAAGTTTCTTTCTAATCTCTCAGTCCGTTCTCTGAAATCTTGGGGTAGATTTGCCATCTCTTCCCACTTCTTCATCTTGTTAAAAAATTCAATCAAGCTAATATTAAAAATAAAAAAGATATTTTCTTAAATTAACACAAGTGTACAAATGCAATTAAAAGTAAATAAAGATTAAGTCATTGAGTTGTATTACTTTTAGACAGAAAAGTCACAACTCCTGCCTGACTAGCTTAGTCTCCTACTGAGTGATTTCTCTGATCTTCGAATCAACTCTCATTCTCACAGTACCCTAGGTTTTATTTACAAAATTGATTAAAAACCAAATAATTAACCAGAGTAACGCAACCAACATTCATGTATCCGACTGCCAGATTTCACAAATATTAACGTAGAGAATACATTTTGCCATGTCTGCTTGTTCTGTAGAAACGGCCAAAGTTCCCATTTGTACTCTCCCTCAATGTCATTCCCCACTCTTCTCTCCCTAAACATCATTCTAAAGTTAGTCTAAATCTTTCCCATCCGTACTTACTAGAGTTACTATATGGATGTACTTGTATCCATAAACAGTAAGCAAACCTTTTGTATGAATGATAGTAATCTATAATAATAAAAGCGTAATATGCTAATTAGACCAGACAGCCAGAAGACCTTCCGGACGTCCTTCTGGATGAAGCTGTGGTGGCAGGGGCCGAGGCAGAGTTGGTTAGGGACGATCAGGGAAGGCAGGAGAGTGGTTAGGGGCGATCAGGGAAGGCCGGAGAGCGGTTAGGAGTAGTGGTCCCGGATTGAGAGAGGGCGCAGGCCGGGCTGAGGGACCCCCGAGTGCATGGGATTCCTGTACTGGGCCTCTAGTTCTATATAATAAGTAGCATTTTGCAACTTGCTTTTTCATTCAATAATGTTGCCGAGTTAATGTTGATACATGTAGATCTAGTTCATTCATTTTAATTGCTAGAAGTATTCCTTCATATGAACTACCATGAATTTTTGCATTCCCCAACCAATTGAAATTGAGGTTTCTAACTTTTATTATAACCAAAAATATTGTAATGAACACATTCTTGTACCTAAGAATTTCTTTACCAACTAGCCCAGAAGTAGAATTGAGTCAGAGAAATGTGCATTCTCAACTTTACCAGAAATGTGCCAAATTTCCCACTGAAGTGGTCTGTCAATTTATTCTCTCAGCAATGCACACCAGTAATACAGTTTCTCTTTCCCCACATAAAGACCAATATTGGATTTATCAGACTTCAAATTTCTCTGATCTAATGACTATGAAATGCTTGGTTTTTGGTTTGTTTTTTACTGTGACTTCAGCTCTTTAGGCACTGCCTCTTGTTCTTAGGCCTAAACATTACTCAGAATGGAGTTAGTTCAAAGTCAATAAATAGACTACAGCTAAATATTACATTTCTTGATAATTATTTTAATAGTGATTTTTTAAACCACTAGGTCCGTAAATTATTTACCTTCCAAAATGCAAAACATCCCTTTCCACCAATCTTCAATAAGCTATAGAAAAAATTCACCCCCAAGGCACAAATAATCAATGTCATAATTCAATTACACACCAACAGAAAAAGCATTTCTGCCTCTTCTTGAAAGAATTATCTGACCCTTTTCATAACTGATTATAATACTGCTGCTTATCTCCCAACTAGGAAACTTAGAAGCACTTACACATTCCATACACATTACGATACAAGTCCTGCGCATGCAGTTTGGAGTGTAATAGCATGCAATATTTTATTAACTTTTCAACTAGAGTATTTCCTAAGGTTTCTCAATATCCTTATTTAGAATTCTTCAATATTACAGAACGAGATAACCTTCTAATAGTCAACTCTTCATACACGTGCCTGCTATAGTAGTCACACTATTTTTCTATTCAAACACAGTTACCTCTGCTCTGAGCATCGCAGGAGTCTGGTTAAAGACACATAGTTTCCTTCAGCTGTCCCTTTGCTTACAGTTGGCACAGATTTTCTGCAAGCCACATATAAGGCACATGCCAACCAGTGAAGATCATTTCCCTACAAAAACAAACGAAAACTGTTACTTAATGAGTTATATATATATGTATATTTCAATATAAAATTCTTATGTTTAAACTGAAAGTGATATTTATGTGTTTGGGGAACTGTATTTTCAGTGATGGCCCTATTCTATGTGCTCATCTTTTATTTTTTTTATCCTCACCTGAGGGTATTTTTTCCATTGACTGTCTTAGAGAGAATGGAGGGAAGAGAGGGGACGGGGACATCCATGTGAGAGAGACACATCAATTGGTTGCCTCTGGCTCCCACCCAGACCAGGATGTGGATCGAGTCTGCAACCAAGGTACATGCCCTTGACTGGGAATTGAACCCATGACCCTTTGGAGCGTGGGCCAACGCTCTAACCACTGGGAAAACTGGCCAGGCCATGTGCTCTCCTTATAATGGCATTCTTCCAGAGAGGAGCGGTCTGTGTTCCCTCCCTTTGAACTGGCTCAACCAACAGCACAGGTTACTATGTAACTTTCAAGGGCATAAAAGGCAATACAGATTCCACCGGCTCTGTCAGGACCTGTGCCTTGGGAGGCCCAACCTGGGAGTAGAACACCTCCGGCAAATTACTTAACCATCACAGAGGCTCAATTTTCTTATCTGCGGGCTGTGAGAATGGAATGAGCTACAAATATGAAGTACAGGAAAATTCAAGGAATCAAAAGATAAACTCTGTAACCAGTATTCTGTATTAAGTATCACATTCTCTTATAGCATACCTGGCTACAAGTTCAAGGCAGGGGTTTTTAAGTTTTGTGCCCCGGTCTTTTCCCAGCACCTACAATAGTGCCTGGCAAAGAATTAGTTGGTCAAAAAATATTTAATACATGAATAAATATTAATTTATTGCGTAAGCTGCGCTAAGTCTCTGAGACTAACGTCATAAAAAATGAAGTAATCACACATTTTCAAAAATGACTTACTAACCGTCTATTATTGTCACTTGCTTATATAGCACTGGACTTCACCTCTATGAACTGAAATACCCCAACTGCATGGTGATAATGCTTGTTCTCTATAATTTACAGGATTATCAAGAGGGTAAAATAAGAGCTGATTTGGAGGCATTTATGCGCATCACCAAAAAGAGTCCTTCTCTTTGCCTGACCCCAGAACCACTGGGAAATCAACAGGAACACGGCCTGTACAGCCGGGTCACCTAAGTACCCTCGACGACTCTACAGCACTAACCATGCGAGCGTGTGCCAGAAACTGCACATTACTACCTGACTTAGCCCCAGAACAGCTCTGTGACTTAGATGCATGTATCTCAATTGTACCTACCACAAAATTGGAGTGGTTAAGTAATTTGTCCAAAAGCACCCAGATCTGTCAAATACTTAAAGCCACTATAGTACTAGAGTTTCTTTCTTCCTGGGCATATAACAATGAGGAGGAAAAAAACAAAAAACGGAATTAAAATCCTATCCATGCAAAAACTACCCTGATCGGCTTGGCTCAGTGGATAGAGCAGTCGGCCTGCGGACTGAAGGGTCCCAGGTTCGATTCCGGTCAAGGGCATGTACCTTGGTTGCGGGCACATCCCCAGTAGGGAGTATGCAGGAGGCAGCTGATCGATGTTTCTCTCTCATTGATGTTTCTAACTCTCTATCCCTCCCCCCTCCTATCTGTAAAAAAAAAAAAAAATAAATAAAATATATTTTAAAAAACAACTACACAAATCACCTTAGTGGCACATAACGCAAAAACACCCTCGGTGCGCTCAGACACCCGGATGGCCTTTCCCTCCAGGGCCTACCAGCTCGCCTCCCTCTTTCCAAAACCTGTCTCACAACCTGTGAGCGTCACGTGGCTTCCTGTTTGACGGCTGCCCGTTCGGGCGGGGAAACAGCTGATAAACAACCCGCACTTCCGCGTCCCTTCCCATTGGCCCGCCGCGGGGCGGGGCTTGCGAGCCTCGAGCCTCACTGGCTACAAAGAGCTTTTTTTATTTTCTCCTCCGCAGGCCCCGTCCGAAGAAAGGGGCACAACCACCAGCCTAAATCACCCGGACTGTCAGAGCCCGGGGCCGTGTCGGGGGGCGGCCCAAAGGGGTTCAAGGTCGTCGCGGCCCTGCCTTCCGAGTGACACCGGGGGCGGCGGCCCGGCGTGTGTCCACATCCCGGCGGGCGGGTCGCCCGTTTCAGCCCATGGACGGTGGAGGGAACCCCCTCGTCCCCACGTACGTGAGCGCGCGGCCCCACACCTCACGCGCGGATTCGAATAGATGGGCAGAGGCGATGAGGTTCCGCGGGAAAGGAGCCGAAGGAGGGGACCAGAAACCCCAACATCGGGCGACTCGCGGCGCCCCCACGGGCAAGCCCCTCCCCTGCTCCGTGCGGTCCCCGCACCCGCACCTGTTCCTTCTGCCGACCAGGTGGCTGTCAATTTGTAGCCAGGACCCCAGCGCGACCTCGGCCTCGCGGGGGCTGCATTAGGGCAACAGGTGTTCCCCATTCGGAACCCCAAAGGGAAGAGCAGCGAGACGGAGTTCGCCTTCGGAGCCGCCGAGAGCTTTTCAAAAGCCCGGTTTTCAGGTCTAAGGCGCGCAGCGAGGGTTCCCACCCCGGTGCCTGTTGGGGGCGGGGGGGGGATCCCTGCGGGGCGCCCGACCCAGGGGGGCAGGAGGGTCCCCTCCCCGCGGCGGGCGTGACCACTAGGCCCGGGAAGACCTCGCCGCGCCCTCCCTCGGGGCGCACCTCCAGCGTGTAGCTCTCGCTCATGCTCCGGTAGCTGTCCCAGGCCTCCGTCCGCGCCGCCTCGTCCATGTTGAGGCGGCAGCACAGCTCGTCGAACCGCTGCTGGGTCTGCGGAGTCGGCGTCCGCGTCGGCTGCGCGGAGTCCTCCGCCTCCCCGTCGTCATCGTCCTCCTCCTCCTCTTCCTCGGAGCCTGCCGCCGCCGGAGGGGGCGGCGAGGGTGGCGGCGACTGGTCGCCTCCAGATGGCATGGCGCACCCTTGGGCGGCCAGTCCTCAGGTGAGCTGCGGGCCCGGGCCCGTAGCCATTCAAACCGCGAAGCGCCCGCCCGTCCGCCGCTTATAAGGCGACTGCGCCGCCGCTGACGGCGCGTGACCTCACGTAGGCACCCGTAGTTCTGAAGATGGCCTGCCGGGAAATGTAGTCCGGGTCGGGGGGCCCGCGCGGGTCAAAAAGCATTTCAAACTAATCAGTTCGCGCACTCTCACCCGGGCTGAAATGCAAGCGGCTGCTGTACATTGTAGGTGCGTCCCCGTCGCGAGAGCATCCAGCGGGGCGCTCTCGAAAAGAAAACATCCAAGGAACACCGACATGTGAAGGTTTAATATCCAAACTGTTCCCAGAAAGAAGACTGGACAGCTCGGTGTCCTTATTTGGAAAGTAGGAATAGCGAAGGCCTGTCTGCCAACGTTCGTTTTCGGCCTCGCTCCTAATTTCTAGCTTTTTCCTAAGTTTACATTTTATTTGAGCCTCAATTATTGGATTTTTAAAAAGCAGTAATTCCTTCCCCTGTCCCCATAGGGCCAATATATGTTCACTGTGACGCATTTGTACTACCCTCAGCCACCCAATAATTTGATCCCTTTTTATTTTGCTTTCTCTTTTCCTATCTATAGACTCGAATCTCTTTATTTCCAGTCCTCTTTGGTTTATAAATGAATATAGTGTACATTTTCATGCTTGAGGAGCCTGACAGCAATGTGAACTGAGGAAAAGAAATACTGGTGCAAAAACCCGTTTCAGGAAACTTGAGCAGGATGCCGGCGGAGAGGAGGATCTGGGGAAAGATAACAGGACGCTCGGGGACAATTCTTGGATATGCTTTCTCAGTGTTGAGATAAGGTGATCAAAGGCAAGAACAGAGGTCAAATACAACTGCTTTATAAGCATTTCTAAGTTCATAAGAAATTCTAGTAGTTTCCTTATATTTAGGCTGGGGATACTAAATTTTAGAAAAATGATATTGCTTATTTTGGACACCAGCAACACAGTTTTACTAGAACAAAAATTAGATTTGTTTAGAGGTAAGATTTGTTTACCATTTTCAGTCAAGTTTAATGTAATTGAAATAAAATTTATGGTAATAAACCATCAAATATGTTTTGTAAAAATATGCTTTGCTTGTGAATACCAGTATTTTCAAAGCCAATGGACTTTAAATACCATAGTAACTTGATAATATCATCCATTTTAAAAGTACATTCACAGAACTTTTAACTATTAGACGTTTTATATCATCCCTATTTCTCCTTTACCTAATATTCCCATCCTACTATACCAACAAAATTTTATCTTAATGTTTTGTGCTTTAAAGTCCATTCTTGAATCTTTCATATTTCCTATCACTCTCTCTCTCTCTCTCTCTCTCTCTCTCTCTCTCTCTCTCTCTCTCTCTCTCTCAGTCAATTAATAAAAGCATACCCTTGGGTGAGGATAAAAAAAATAAAAGAAAAATATGTATGTGCAAATTAACTTTTAGGTATCCTTCTGTTTATTCTTTTATGTCAGATTCATTGAGGTATAATTTGCATGTAGTAAAATTCACTTTCAAGCATACAGTTCTATGAATTGTGAAAAATCGTCATGTCCACCATAATCAAGACACTAACCATTCCCATCACTCAAAAGTATTCCTAGTACCTCTGTGTAGTGATCCCTCCTCACACAGCCCCGGGCAACCACTGGTCAGTTTTCTGTCCCATAGTTCCGTATTTTCCAAACTGTCATATAAATGTAATCATACATTATGTAACCTTGATTGGGCTTCTCTCAACTTAGCATAATGCCTTTCAGATTTACCCATGTTGTTGCATGTGGCAGTCATTTGTTCCTTTTTGTTGCTAAGTCACATCTATTGCATGTATCTCCCAACATTTATTTATCCATTCACCAGCTGAAAATGTCCAGGTTGTTTCCTTTGGTGATTATGAGAAAAGCTGCTACTCACTTGCATGTGTATGTTTTTTGGGTGACACAAGTTTTCATATGATCCAGCAATTCCACTCCTGGGTACTTATCCAGAGGAAACAAAATCACTATCTTGAAAAAACGTCTGCACCTGTATGTTCATGGAGCCATTACTTACAATAGTAAAGACATGCAAACCTGTGTTCATCAACAGATGATAGATAAAAAAATATACATACACAATGGAACATTACTTAGCCATACAAACAAAAATCCTGCCATTTAAGACTTGGATGGACCTTGCATGCATTATATATATACGTGCAATAATTCAAACAGAGAAAGACAAATACTAGTACTGTATGACCTCATTTGTGGAACCTAAAAATAAAAAAACAACAAACTCATAGGTACAGAGAACAGACTGATGGTTCTCAGAGTCGGGAGATTGGGGGAGGGGGAGAGGAATAGGTGAAGATGGTCAAAAGATACAAACTTCCCAACTTTTATGTCCTGGGGATGTAATGGACAGCATACTGACTATACGAAACAGGGCTGTATTGTATATCTGAAAGTTGCTAAGAGAGTAGATCTTAAAAATTCTCATCACAAAAGAAATTTTGTAGCTGTGTGGTAATGGATGTTAACTAAACTTATGGTAATCGTCTCACTATACACACACACATAATGATTTGATATATATATATGTATATACACACCGAGTGGCCAGATTATTATGACCACCTGACATTTGTAGGCAAATTAGCTGTAAAACTGCAATGTATGGGATATGGAAGCCGAAGGCCTGTTCGAACACCCTTGCTGTCTGCAGTTACCAAGATAAAACATCACCAATTCACACAGGTACACAAGGATTGGACAGTCGAGCATTGGAAAAAAAGTCATGTGGTCCGATGAATCACGTTTCCAGTTGTATCATGCAGATGGCAGAGAATTTGGCAGAAACAGCATGAAAGCATGTACCCCACATGCATGAGTACAACCTTCAAGCTGGTGGGGGCAGTGTTATAGTTTGGGGCATGTTTTCCTGGCATGATTTGGGCCCTTTAATTCGTGTGGAACAATGTCTGAATAGCACCACATACCTAAGTATCATTGCCGATCAAGTTCATGCTATCATGTTGATACGTATCCCAATGGAGATGGCTTCTTCCAACAAGACGATGTGCCATGCCACGGTGCTCGTATTGTGCAGGAGTGGCTTCAAGAACATGAGGGAGACTTTACCTTGCTTAGGTGGCCCCAACAATCACCAGATCTCAATCCAATTGAGCATTTGTGGGATGAAGTTAAAAGAGCCATCAGGCAGCTGGTGCCACAACCATCAAATCTCACAGAACTGGACAGTGCTATTCATCAGGCCTGGTGTCAGATTCCCCCGGGAGACCTTGGGGGATGTCTGATGGCTTAGGCCAAGCGGGCCTAAACTGTCAGTCAGACATCCTTAGCAGATGGATTAGCTCCAGCCACTGCCCTGCACTCGCCAGCCTCGAGCCCAGCTTCTGGCTGAGTAGTGTTCTCTCTGTGGGAGCGCACTGACTACCAGGGGGCAGCTTCTACGTTGAGCATCTGCCCCCTGGTGGTCAGTGTGCCTCATAGCGACCAGTCGTTCTGCCATTCGGTTGATTTGCGTATTAAGCTTTTATTATATAAGATGTTGTACAATGTCAATTATATATCAATTAAAACTCAATATTGGTCATGAAGAGGTTTGGTTCTTGGGTTCTGATTGTACAATCACTCACTCACTCATTTCGCCAAAGTCTGCCATCTATCCATCCATTCAAATATTCAACAAATGTTTAGTCTGTGTCTACTATATGTCAAGTACTGTGAAAAGCACTGAGTGTACAGTCATGAATAAGGCAAGCATGGTCCGCCCTCAGAGCTCATGATCCCATGGGTAAAGCAGACCCAGAACAGGTAATTGTCAAGTGTGAATACTAGTAAAAAGAAATTCAGGGAGCTATACGAGTGCATCACAAGAGACCTTAAACCTCTGTGGTGTGTGTGTTTAGGGGCTCAATAATTTGGTCCTAAATAAATTATACTGCATCTATATGTTAGAATAAGAAAGGCCTTAAAAATGTTTTGGAAGATTCTTTAATGACATGGAAAGAGAATCATGGTATAGTAAATGAAAAAAAAAAAAGGTTACAAAATGGTATGTACAGTATAACTCCATTCTTATTAATATATAATATGTATCTGCAAAGAAAAATGACCTAACAGTTAACAATTATCTGAGTGTACAGCATTAAGGGGGGGGGGGAGGGGGTGTTTGTGCTTTCCCTACTTCCCTTCCCCTCCCCCAGATTTTCTGTAATACACACATCTTGCTTTTCACTAAGAAAAAGAATTTAAAAATTCATCAAGATGTTATTTTTGCCGAATAATTTGGCAAATGTTATTTCAAAGGACAATACACAGTATTGGTAAGGATTTGGGGTAAATCAACATTCACAAAATGTACCCTGCTAATGGTAGTATCATTTGCTACTAACGGCATCATTATAAACTCGGCAAAACAAAATCCTTAAAAACACAGGAAGTATTTCACTTCTAGGGATTAAGAAAATCATTAGGGATAAATGCAAAAAAATGCATATATAAACCCAAATGTCTATTTTTAAGTACATGGTTAAATAAGTTACTACATCAGTATGAGCCAATCCTAAATTATTAATATTAAAAATCACATTGCAGGATACTCATTGACATAGGTCAGTATTATCAAGGGCAGAAGAGTAAATATTATGCCCCATATAATACTGATTTAATATGAAAATGTATTAGTTTCCTAGGGCTACCATGACATAGGCCCACAAACTGGGTGGCTTAAAACAGAAACTTAGTCTCTCACAGTTATGGAGGCTAGCTGGTAGGGTGGCTGCTTCTGGAGGCTCCGAAAGAGGATCTGTTCCACGCCTCTCCCAGCATCTGGTGGTTGCTGGCAAGCCTCGGTGTTTCTTGGCTTGTAGCCGCATCACTCCAATCTCTTTTGGTTGTCTCATAACCTTCGTCACTGTGAGTCTCTGTGTGTCTTCTCTTAGGAGAATGCCAGTCACTGGATTAAGGGCCCATCCTAATCTATCATGATAGCATCTTAACTAATTACATCTCTCAAGACTATTTTCAAAGAAGGTCACGTTCTGAGGTTTTTCGTTGACATAAATTTTTGTAGGGCACCAATCAGCCCACTACATGTATAGAACATACATATAAAAAAGACTGAAAATCTATACCCACAGTATTTTTATCCCAGGGCGGGTTTAATGAATGACATAAATATTTTTCTTTGTGTTTTCCTGCACTTAAAAATAAATAGCTTATGTACTGTAGTTACATTTATGTAGGGATTAAGGTCTCAATTTATTGTATAAGGTGAAGATTACCTGTAGTCAAATTTCACTCTTTTCCCTCCTAGAGCTCACAAAATACAGAACACATAAGTGTATAGTGTATCTTCTCTCAAAAACATCCAACACGGCCACTTCTTCCTCCAGCATCGGAGTGGATTACTGGTCTTCTGGGTGAGCACTAGATGAAGTAGTTGGCTTGTGTTTACATGCTATATTGTACGAAAAAAGAAAAAGAGGTTTTCTAAGCATAAAAGTATAGTTGAAAGTGTTCAAGTTAAATGAGTGTATCATGAGATTCCACTGTTGAATTTTTTCATCTTTACAAAAAACACTACCAACAACGGCAATAAATTGAGAGTCATAAGACTACATAAAAAATAATTACTGATTTCCAAATGAACCCTTTTACAAGGTTAGGTATATCTGAGTCCTTCTGTCTTATAAGTACCGCACGCTAACCGATTGCGCCACTGGAGCTCCTATCTGAGTCTTTCTGGATTAAAGATCCAGGGGAAGAAAACTTAAGGAAATAATAATGTTGTGGATATAATTATTGCCAAATTCTGTCCTTTAAAAATTCTTCCCAAGTATACTTTCTTTTTAAAGATTTAGGACTGTGGTTGCTTTCATAACTTTGAAGATAAGTGAGCAATATAAAATTCAATTAAAAAAAGAAGTCTTGTCATGTACAGAGGCTGACATCGTGGGTAGTCAAAGAATATGTTTAATAAAAAATAATTAAACTTCCATTTGCTCTATAGAACATCATAGAAAGTAATTTAATAAATTACAAATGACTTTTTAAG